CTGGCTTGTGAGCGCGTCTATCACCTTTTCAATCTCATTGGCAATCACATTGCGACGGATGAAGTCTTGGTTATCGAAAACCGTGCGGAAGATCCGCTCTGTCAACAGGTGCTGGATCAGCATCTCCTCAACGGCGGCTTCCGAGAGGTTCGGGTTAATCGACTGACGACACTTCGCATGGAAGTCAGCAAAGGCGGTGATAAACGCCCGGTTCGTCTCCCGTTCACCATGGATGCGTTCCGCCAAACCCTCCCCAAGCGCGGGCACCCTGTCCCTGAACTCCGATACTGCCTCCTCCCATTCCGTGTATTCCGGTGGACGGTGGGAAAGAAGGTTTCGAGCGTCCCTATCAGTTTCTTCAGGGTTCCTCAGATTAGCATCAAGCCTTTGCTCGCTCGTTCTGCCAAAGGATGGCGCGGTGCGGCTCTTGGAAAAGGATGTTGTCGCGGGGATAGCCTACCTCAAACTTGCGTACCACTTCGGACGGCAAGTCATCGTCCTCATCTTTCGCCTCCCAATAGCCGTGCGTCAGCCGGAAGTTGTCCATCAAGGCACCGTCAACGACAATCCGCCTGTTTTGATGGACTCGCATTGAATGTTCAGGGACAACGTCCAATCAAACTGCCGTGCACAACCTTGGAGCAGGGATTGGAACGCCGATCGCACCGCCCCCTCATGCGTAGCACCAACCTGATCAAACTGATCCAACGCCTTGTAGTAATCTCTGATGATTTTGTGTGTGGGTCTGAGATTGAGGCTTGTCACAAAACACCTTTCATGTTTCACGTTTCCCACCTGCCATAGCACATGTCGCCCCGCTGGGGCTTTAGGGTTCGTGCCGTTGCGCAGGGCTATAAACATGTCGCCCCTCTGGGGCTAAGTGAACCGTTACTCATCACGTTTCACGTATCCCACCTGCCATAGCACATGTCGCCCCTCTGGGGCTTTAGGGTTCGTGCCATTGCGCGTGCTATATACATACCGCCCCTCTGGGGCTAAATAAACCAATTACGCATCACGTTTCACGCTTCCCACCTACCATAGCACATGTCGCCCCTCTGGGGCTTTAGTTTGTGGTGTTTGCGCGTGCTATAAACATACCGCCCCGCTGGGGCTAAATAAACCAATTACGCATCACGCCTCCAGCCCGGCATGTTATAGATATATCGCTCCGTTGGGACTATGGACGTTGTGTGTTCCATAGACCTGTCCCACTGCCTCCTGTTCAGCTTTCTCGATGATAATGCTGCCACCGCGGAGCAAAATACTACCGCTCAAACCCTGCGAGGAGCGGGCGAGTCTCAGTATCGGCTCAAAACTCCGGCATATTAAACGCCACTCCGAAGCGCGAACCCCCATCCTCAAAACGGTACGTGTACCTCACGCCCATATCCAGTGCAATGAATAAAGAAAAGGGGTTGAAATTGGCAGTCAACTCGGCACCGGCAGTGTGGTAGGTGGTCCGCTGAGAGCCGTCCTTGCCAAACCCATAGTCGTAGAAGCAGTTGACTTTGATGCGCTGCAGGTACACCAGCGGACCAAGGTGCAAGTCCGGGTAGAGCAGTGGTAGGGCATAGTTGGCTGACCCCTGATAGAAGTGGCGGTGGTAGTGGTAGTTGTAGCCGCGGACAAAGGCTCTGTTCGCTCTCGAAGCGGTAGGGATTGGCATCGGCAGCTGCGGGATCCTGCCACTCGTAACCACCCGCTAGCTGTAGGCTGTGGTGGGCAACCAGACCGGGAAAGCGTAGTTCCAACCGTCCCGACAGCAAGGTGCCGTCGTAGTCGCCCGCAAAGGGTGTGTGGCGATAGGTCAGCTGCAAGTGCTGACCCCAAGCTGGGGCTAGATCGCGCTTTGCTTTGCTGCGCGATCGATCGAAGGCTAGCTGGTATGTCATCGGCGCAAAGCGTCCGCTCTGGTTTTCTTCAAACACACCGCCTGAATCGGGTTGGCGTGGGTCGTCCTTGTCGGTGATTTCGGTGAACGCCGCCTTTACGCTCAAATGGGCGGAAGATTGCCAGGGACCGCGGGAAAGATTCAAGGGCACTTCGACGCTGGTATGCACGCTTTTTTCAGTCCACTTGTCAGTCACTTCCTCTTTGGTTTCGTCAGTATCATCTTCTTCTTCGATCCCGTAGGTTCCGCCCCGATTGCCCCAGCGCCCCCACGGCCCACGCTGAAAATGGGATACCACGCCGCCAAGCTGAAATCGCCTAAAACGCTAAACGCTCTCTCGTTTGCCATTGTATTCGACCCCGCTGCCTATGTTGCTGAGATTGAGCAAATCACTCGACCGGAGATTGAGAGAGTAGTTCGGGGAGGAGGGCAGCCCCGAGATAATGGGATACCAAGAGTGGATCTTGAGCAGATGGCCTAGCGGCCGATAGCGGTGCACCGGGTAGACTTGCTGCGGAATGTTCTCCAACATGCTGCCGCCCTGCTCCTGGTCGATCAGTGGTTCGTAATAGCGCACTCGACGGTCCGCGACCTGCTCCACCGGCGTCCAAGTTGTCGGGTCCAGGGGCATGGACGCGATGCGGTAGCCGTCGACGGTGTAGTCCTCGAACAGGAGCGAATCGCCAGCCACCGCCGCGTGGGTGGTTGCCAGCGGTCGAGAGGTCACTTGGTAACGCGCCCCGCTTGGCAAGTGGACAGCGTGGATATTGTTGATGCCCGCATAGGATGCGTCAAACAGCAGGTAGGAACCCCAGAATACGGGCCAGGCGATATCGGTGTGGGTGTGCGGCAACACGATCTGCCCCTGCCCATCGGCAGCGTCAATGCGTTCGAGCGTGTTGCCGCGTTGCCGTCCTGCCGCACCACGGTGATATAGCGCCCATCCTCCGACCACGCCGGTGTACGCCAGAAAACCCCGTCGGGGGCTGGGAAACGGGCATGCTCCGTGCCACTGCCGGTCTCCAGGACCACCAAGTGGCAGCGCCGGTCTGGTCCAAATTCTATGGCGGCAACGCGGGCACCATCAGGGGAAGGAGCCGGTGAGAACAACTTGGCTTTGTGGGTAAGTTGGCGCAGCCGGCCGCTGTCAATGTCCAGTACCATCACATCGGAATAGTCGCGGTTGCCCCAGCGTCGATCCGGGATGGTCCGGTTCCAAGCCACCTTGCCACCGGCCGCGCGGAGACCGCCGAGGGAGTCGTAAAAGCGCACGCGCTCTTCACGCCCATCGGGGTGCAGCCGCACCAGCGTCGCCGGATCAGCCAAGCCGCTCTTGCTCGCCAGCACGCTGCCATCGGCAAGCGGTTGCGGGTATTTGTAGTTGGTCCAAATGCCCGACCGGTTCTGCCCGGCTAGCACCCGCGCCGGCGTTGTGGGCAGATCTTTCTGCTGCGTCTGCCATAGCTCGGTCAGTTCGTCCATCGTCTGCTCATAGATTTGGGGGGCACGGGCACCGGTATGTTTCTTGAGCGAAAGGCTAAAGGCGAAGGGGTGCCATCCCCAAGTGGTACTGCCTAGCACCTTGTCCCACGTCTCTGGACCATAGCGGCGCTTGACGTAGGTCGCCAGAAAATACCCCAGCTGGTAATGGTTGGGGTACCAATCGCGGTACGAACGGAAGTAGGCTTTGTAGTAGGAGTAGCGCTGTCCCGCCAGAAGCAGGGCTCGGATGTCAAGAGCGAACAGGGGATTGCGCCCACGCCCGGTCTGGCTCAACGCCGTTTCGATTCCGACCGCATCCCCTTCCCAAAACCACAACGGCGTCAACAGGTGAACCATCACACTTTCACCCATTTCGCCGGATAGCACCCCTACCAAGCGAACGAGCCCCCGGCGCATACGGTCGTACTGCACTACGTGGCGCATCTCGTGGGTCGCCAGCAGTTCGTACCACTCGCCGTTGAGCAGCTCCGTGTTTTGGGGCGGAGTGCTGAACCACACGCTGCGGCGTGGCGCCAAGGCGACCAAGCCTCCAAACTTAGCCGCTTGGTTGGTTAACACCACTTCCAGCGGCTTTTGCGGTCCCCGCAGCGTTTTAGAGACCGGGCCATAGATGTGTTCGAGCGTATTGGCTACCCGCTGGGCATCGGTGGTGATCGCTTCGGGGAAAATAACCGTGAAACGCTTAGTTTGGATCTGTCGCCAGTCTAGGCCGGGCGGGTCTTGGTTCCCGGAGACCGCCTGCGCGACCAACGAGCTAGGGATCAGCATCGCCAGCACGCCTGCTATTAGCATCTTGGTTGCCATACTTGCTCGCTCCTTGATGATGGTTTGGGTTAGATTTTTCCTTAAATCGTGTGCTTATCTACACAAAACTCGGTTTTTGATGCTTGGTTTATCAACTATAGACCTTACGCATTTCAGTAGGAAGGCTCTGCTGTAGTTGCCCGATTCATCGGACGTTAGGAACGGTATCCAGCGGCGATAAATCGCCGAACTACAAGGTCTTGAGCGTTCAACTGTGTAAGTCCTAAACTAGCAACTTAGGTTATTATAACGCAAGTTGCTAGTTGTCTGATAATACTACTACACACATGTCGCCCCGCTGGGGCTTTAGGGTGTGATGATTCGCTCTTGCTATACACATATCGCCCCTCTGGGGCTAAATGAACCAATTACGCATCACGAACCACGTATCCCAGCTGCCATAGCACATGTCGCCCCTCTGGGGCTTTAGGGTTCGTGCCGTTGCGCGTGCTATATAAATCCGCCCTGGCTAAATAAACCATGTCACTAATCACCTGATCCCAATGACCATCAGCTTCGTTTCACGTCCCACGCATTTTAGCACACAACACCATGATGGACAAGAGAAAAGAAATTGTTTCATTGACTGTCCAACCGACTATGCTATACTGCATTATCAGCATTTCATTTAATCTAATTGGCTTATGTAAAATGAAAGTGTAACGCACGAAAATAAACCGTAGGGGCGGGGTTACCCCGCCCGTTTGCCAGTAGGGATCGGGTGACCCGACCCCTACCAAGTTTCTGTGGTACGATTTCTTAACATGAGCCACCTATTTCCTAGGAGGAAACATCCGTTATGTCAGCAGAGAAACGACTGGAAGAACTCGGCATTGAGCTGCCAGCAGCAGCAACACCGATAGGGAATTATGTAACAACCGTCCATACTGGAAACCTGATATTCACATCAGGTCACGGACCCGGCAGGGGCGAAGGTCCCCTTTACAAAGGTCAGGTGGGAACAGATCTAACAATCGAGGAAGGATATGCATCGGCACGGCAGGTTGGCTTATGCCTCCTCGCCACACTCAAAAATGCACTCGGCGATCTGGATCGGGTCAAGCGCGTCGTGAAAGTGGTCGGCTTCGTCAATTCCGCCCCGAGCTTCACCGAGCAGCCGTCCGTGGTCAATGGGGTATCGGATCTGTTGGTAGAGGTGTTCGGCGATAACGGCAAGCACGCACGATCAGCGGTTGGGATGGTACAACTGCCGGCAGCATCCCCGTCGAAGTCGAGTTGGTCATCGAAATCGAATAGTAATTAGGAGGTACGCACTTCAGATTGTAGTTCTCCCCCGCTTGCGGGGGAGTTAGGGGGTCGGAATGGAGACTTAGGGGGTCGGAACGGAGACTTAGAAGGGTCGGAACGGAGACTCTGAGCGTTCAACTACGTAAGTCCTAAGCAACGCAAAAGGAACGGGTGAAATCCTAGCGGCGAGGTCGCCCCGCCCTTTCGACGTTTCGAGGTAAGCGGGTGGTAGGGGACGTACCCTCCGAATCGCGACTGCTGCTACTAGCCTCCCCTCTGAATCACCTTCAAAACCGCGTCCCGTTTCCGCTCCATAAGTTCCCTTGAGGTCGCCTCAACGTTGAGACGGAGCAGGGGTTCGGTGTTGGATGGACGAACGTTGAAGCGCCATCTGTGACCCGATGAAGAGGGGACTGAAAAATCGCCAAAGGTAATTGAAACTCCGTCCATCCATTCGACAGCACCCGCTTTGCCAAAAGTCGCAGCAATCTCTTCCATCTTAGCTTTTGGGTCTTCCGAGATGCGCGTGTTAATTTCACCAGAGACAAAGTAGGTCGATTCCAACGGCTTGAGCAGATCTGAAAGCGTCGCCCCTTTCTTGGAGAGCATCTCCATAACAATGAGAGAAGGCAGGATACCGGAGTCCGCAAAAAAGAAATCCCTGAAATAGTAATGTCCGGTCCCCTCTCCGGCAAAGAGCGCGTTCTCCCGTACCATGCGATGTTTCATAAAGGAATGCCCCACCCGTTCCACCAAGGCTATACCACCGGCAGCGGTAATGTAATCCCGCACCGCACGAGAAGCACGAGGGGGATACAATATCTTAGCACCGGGGTTGCTTTCCAAGAGGTATTGTCCGACGAGTGCAGCAATAAAATCGCCGTGGACAAACTCACCCCGATCATCGATCGCAAAGAAGCGATCACCGTCGCCATCGAATGCAAAGACCGATATCAGCACCTTCGGCAACGACCCGCCGCTGCAACGCCTGCTCGATTCTCCGGCTTCAGCGGATCGGGACCGCGGTTCGGCAGGTTGCCATCCGGCTCCAAATACATGCCGGTCAATTCAACGGTGGGGAGGCGTGAGTAAATCCGTTGCAGGATGGGACCGACCATGCCGTTGCCTGTATCCGCTATCACCTTCAGCGGCATCAAAGCATCTACATCGATCAGGCTCAGAACCTTTTCGGCAAAACCTTCAGGGAGATCAACGTCCCGCACCTTCTCGATCATTTTCCCATGGCGGCTCGGTCGTGCGAAGGCTTCAGTTTCGACGATGGAGCGCAGGGCTTGCACCATCTCACCACCCAAGATTTCGGGCATCTGCTTCACCATCTTGAAGCCGCCGTATTCGGGCGGGTTGTGCGACGCCGTCACCATTATGCCAGCCTGATTAAGGGTTGCGCAGGCGTAGTAATATTGATCCGTGCTGACCATACCGATGTTGAGGACATCCGCCTCCACCATCCGTCAATCCTTGGGTCAGCGCATCGAACATCGGCGGACTGGAGAGACGCATGTCCCGCCCAACAACCACCGCATTCACCTTGAGCAGCGTAACAAAGGCGCGACCAATCGCGTAGGTAACCGCATCATCCAACGCATCAGGATAAATGCCACGAATATCATTCGCTTTGAAGATGTCGGGATTGACTTTCATTCTCTATACCCTTAACAGTCATGATTAATAGCAGGGAATAAACCGCTAGACACTTTCAAATAATGCGTAATACGTAATAAAAATCGTTGCTCCCTTACGCATCACGTTTCACAATTCAATGAACCAATGAACCAATAAAGAGAGGAAAACCCATGTCAGTTGAAATCGTTAAACCTCGGATCCGAGGCTTTCATCTGCACAAACGCCCATCCAGTCGGGTGTCATCAAAACGTACAAAACCAAGCAAATTACATCAAAGCAAACGCCACAACCAAACAAAGCAATCCCAACGTCCTCGTGGTCGGCGCATCCACCGGATACGGACTCGCCTCCCGCATCGCACTCACTTGGGCTTACGGCGCGAAATCGCTAGGGATTTTCTACGAACGACCGGCATCTGGAAAACGGACCGCCACAGCCGGCTACTATAACTCCGTCGCCCTTCACCAACTCGCAGCACAGGACGGCATCTCCGCCGAAAGCATCAACGGCGACGCCTTCTCCGATGATATAAAACGAGAGACAATCGATCGAATCAAAGGGAGTATGGGTAAGATCGATATCCTCGTTTACAGCATCGCAGCACCACGGCGGATCCATCCACGCACCGGCGCAGAGCATAATTCCGTGTTGAAGCCGATCGGTCAGTCCTACACCAGCCAGACGATCGACCTAAACCGAGAGGTGGTCACCGACATTACCCTTGAAGCGGCAAGCGAACAGGAGATCACCGATACCGTTGCCGTGATGGGGGGCGAAGATCTGGAATTCTGGACGGACGCGCTGTTAGCCGAAGACCTGCTCGCACAGGGCGCGACGGTGGTAACATACTCCTACATCGGACCCGAGCTCACATGGGCAATCTATCGCGACGGCACAATCGGAAAAGCGAAAGAGGATCTGGAAACCCGCGTCAACACGCTGGATAAAACGCTCTCCGACAAACTCGGCGGGAACGTCTACCTCTCCGTCAACAAAGCCATCGTTTCACAAGCATCAATGGCGATCCCAGTTGTCCCCCTCTACATGAGCATCCTCAACCAAATCATGGACACAAAAGGGACCAACGAGGACCCAATCGCGCAGATGGGACGGCTTTTCACAGAACACCTCGGTCCCGACCTATCCCCAACGCTCGACGCTGAACGCCGCATCCGACTCGACGACCGGGAACTCCGCGCCGATGTCACCGCCGAAATTATCGAACGGTGGGGGCAAATCAACACCGATAACTTCCGCGAAATCTCCGACTACAACGGTCTGCAGCACAGTTTCCGCAACCTGTTCGGCTTTGATGTCGATGGCGTCAATTATGACGAAGCGGTAGAAATAGAACTTAATCTGTAGGGGGCGTACCCTCCGAATCGCGACTCACTCTAGTCAAAGGCCCAATATCCTCACTAACTATTACCAAAGGTTGGTATGTTAGCTCCCTGACCACGGCAACGGTATCACAGCTTCGGATTCTCCTGATGCCGCTGCCGGTCACGCTTCGTCTTTTTCTCGATCGATTTCCGAAAAGCGTCCTCTAGGTCCACCCCGGTCTGATTTGCCAAACAGATCAGCACAAACAGCACGTCCGCCATCTCCTCCGCGAGATCTACCTCTCTATCCGATGCCTTGAAACTCTGATCCCCGTACCGGCGCGCCATAATCCGAGCCATCTCCCCAACCTCTTCCATCAAGATAGCGGTATTCGTCAACTCCGAAAAATAACGGACCCCAACAGTTTTAATCCATTCATCGACCAATTTCTGACAGTTTTCGATCGTATATTCCATGCTTCGCTCCATGTCCATCTATTATTCTCAGTTGTTTTCTGTGTAGATATATCCAAGCCATCTTTGTGTACGGTGGATTTGGCAATCCACTGAGAACGGTGATTGATTCCCATTACCTTAGAACACTACATACATGTCGCCCCGCTGGGGCTTGGGGGTCTGTGCCATTGCCCGTGCTATAAACATGTCGCCCCCTTTGGGCTTTAGTAACAAGAAACGGAACGCAGATCTCTGTTACCTACCAATTGCGTCGGGCAAGATGCCCGACCTACGGGTGTGCAGTGGATTTGGCAATCCACTGTGAGCGGTGATTGATTCCCATTACCTTAGAACGCTACATACATGTCGCCCCGCTGGGGCTTGAGGCTTGTACCGTTGCGTGTGCCTACTGTCGCCCCGCTGGGGCTAAATAATCTTATGAACCCAATGAACTTCTTACCTACCACGTTTCACGTTTCATCATAACACGCAGAGGTTGCGTCAACTGCTTTTAAGGTAGTAGGCACGCGCCGCGTGCCGTAACCCTGTTACCACACCAACAACATTTTCCCCCTTGACACAAGCAACCGACATACACTATACTCAACCCCTCGGAGGCTACCATCTATGCACAAAGAACTATTTGATCAACTCGTTCAAGTCGTCGCCACCCTACGCGGCGAAAACGGCTGCCCATGGGACAAAGCACAGACCCACGAAACCCTGAAAGCAGAGCTCATCGAAGAAACCTACGAAGTGATCGAGGCAATCGACGCGAAATCATCGGACAAGCTACAGGAAGAGCTCGGCGACCTCCTCCTGCAAGTCGTGCTCAACGCACAGATCGCAAAGGATCAAAACGATTTCAGCATCAACGAAGTCGTCCGTTCCATAACGGACAAACTCATCCGCCGCCACCCACACGTCTTTGGCGATGTCGATGCAAAAGACACCGAAACGGTGCTTCAGAATTGGGAGGCGATCAAGCGAAGCGAGGTAGGCTACGAAGATCGAAAATCCGTCCTCGATGGCGTACCAGAATCCCTACCAAGCCTCTTGCGAGCGCAGAAAATTCAGAACCGAGCCGCCCGCGTCGGGTTCGATTGGGATACTGTCGCCGATGTCCTCCCAAAACTAGAGGAAGAAATCGAGGAGGTCAAAGTGAGTGTGAAAAAGGGGGATACAGAGGAGATCGAGATGGAGATTGGAGATCTTCTGTTCTCAGTGGTGAACCTATGCCGTTTTTTGGAGGTGCAGGCAGAGGAAGCGTTACGCCAAGCGGTCCGCAAGTTTACCGACCGCTTCCAAAAAATGGAGGAGACACTTGAACAACGCGGTAAAACCTTCAAAGACTACGATCTGGCTGGATTAGATCTAATCTGGGAAGAAGCAAAAGAGAAGGAGCAACAATAACATGGCACGTAAACGCGTTTTAATTACCGGCGCAGCAGGATTCATCGGCAGCTATATTCGGCAAAATTACGGCGATCGATACATCATGCGACTGGCAGACATCACCGAAATTGACAACCCGGGTGGACATGAGGTTATGAAGGCAGACATCGCCGACCTCGACCAGATGCAGCGCGCCTGTGAAGGGATGGACACAGTTGTCCACCTCGCCGCCGATCGCAGTCCAAGTGCGGACTTCTACGAAACCCTGTTGTCGCTGAACATCATCGGCACATACAACGTTTTCCAAGCGGCGAAGGATCAAGGCTGTGAGCGCGTCGTCTTTGCCAGCAGCATCAACGCAATGTTAGCCTATCCGCCGGACCTCTCCGTCACTTGGGATATGCCGGTCAACCCACCAAACGTCTACGGCGTGACCAAATGCTTCGGCGAGTCGTTAGGACGCTGTTTCGCACACGACGGGCTATCCTCAATCGCAATCCGAATCGGCGGAATTAAACAAGATGGTGAACCGGCTCGAAATCAAGGGGACATGGGACAGGGCTGGATCAGCCAACGCGATCTGGCGCAACTGATTGGGCTGCTGCATCGATGTCGAAGGAGTTGACTTCGCGATTGTGCACGGGCAGAGCCGCCATAAAACTCCACGACTCGACATCTCCCACACCTGCGAAATCCTCGGCTACGACCCCCAAGACGGCACAATCTAAAGTAGTAGGCATACACCGTATGCCGTCTACAAAGGTAGTAGGTACAATCTCTTGTGCCGTAACCAAAGTTGTAGGGAACAACGATCTCCGTTCCATCTGTTCTAAATCACCGGGGTAATGCGTCAATCTCCCGTGCTTTTGTAGGTCGAGTTTCCATACTCGACGGTTGACTGATCCAGTAGATTGTAGGTCGAGATTCATATCTCGACAATATACACGGCGTGTCGCTCCACAATCTTGGCTCAATCAACCCGGAACATCTCTAGGTATTGTCGATTTTGGAAAATCAACCTACAGCAGTCCGAAATCGTTTCTGATGTGTGAACAAAGGGTTGGGAGACCCAAACCCTACGAAGGATCATGCATCTGTGCACGCCCTTGATTGTCTAATTGCTATGAAATGTCAACAGAACCTAGCAACTTGCATTATAGATAAATGCAGTGAAACCCAACACTAGACTATGAACTTATGAACGAATCGTTTTCTCGTTTTCACGCTGAAGCTATTGCGGACCATCCTGCCGTTTCAAACGGATAGATCCATTCGTACTCCGCAACTTGACAACAGCCTCACCACCCTCGCCAATTTCGCCTTTGAGCTTATTTCTGATCTTCCCGACAACAGGGATAGGGAAATCGGAATGCACACGTCCTCTCCGCGCTTCAGCATCAAGCTGCCCAGCAAAATCCGCGGGAAGCGTCAAATCCATAGAACCGTTAGTTGTCAGTGCTGTCACAGAGCCAACACAACGGTGCACCTCTACCCCTATCGTGCCGTTGGTTGTCGAGAACTCCGCATCCTCGGTGAGCGAACCGACTTCGGCTCTAACTGATCCGTTGGTGGTGCGGGCACGAATTGGACCTTTATCGCCCTCCAATTTTATGACATCATTAACAGTCGTCGCATCAATCGATCCACTGATTCCACTAATCTCGATTTTACCGTTGACGGTGCGGAGATTCACATCAACCTCCCGCGGCGTCTCAATCGCATAACGCACGGCGAGGTTCACACCTCTGGGGGGAGGTGGGTGTTCGGTGAAAACCCGAAGCTCATCCCCAATCTGCTCCGCATAGATTTCGACTTTTTCGGCGAATTCCGCTGCGACGTTCCTCCTCCCTCGTACCTCTTTCCACGCACGGACAGTAACCCCATCTCGGTCTGAACCTTCGAGCGCGATCCGCCCCATTAGCGGTTTGTGCATCAATTTTGGTGATGCCAGTGCCCTCAAACACGTCCAGTTGCTGCTTGACTCTCCGTTTTTCATCGTCTTCATCGGTGATGTCAGCGATATCGGAGACGGAATCAACAACTTCAGAAACAGATGATTTCACCTGATCAACCACCTCGCTGACGATTTTTTGCACACCTGACCGTTGCACCGATTCAACTGCCCTACCCACCTCAACCTCAATCTCTCGCCCAACCTCCTGAAAGATTTCCGTCATATCTTGCAAGAGTTCCTTCCCCTCTTTGGGCTTTTCATCTTCAGCATCAGTTTGTTCATCTGGCGCAGCAGCCTCATCGAGGGCGCGTAACAGCATCTCCGCCTCCTCCGCGTTGATCTTCCCCTCGGCAAGCATGTTAAGGATTGCAAGTCTTTCTTGGTTCATGGTTATTTCCCCCTTAATTGATTGATCAACTCAGTCGCCTCCGCTGCGGAGATCTCCCCTGCATTGAGTTGCTTGAGGATGGCACGGCGTTCCTCTGCCACCTCACCCGGCTCAGCCGATTCCGCCTCAACCTCATAACCAAGCTCCTTGATAACAGCGTTCAACCGGCTACGAACGGTCGGGTAGGAGATCTCAAGCTCACGCTCCATCTCTCTGATATTGCCCCGATTCTTGACGAAAATCTCAATGAAATCAAGGCTCTCTTGCGACAATCGACAGAAGCGACAGGTCGAATACTCACTTTCAATCCGGGTGTGACAAGAACGGCAGTGCAAACCCGTTATTGTCAGTTCACCACCACATGTTGGACACTGCTCTAGTACCTTTCGCAAAATTATCTCACTCCTTTATAGTTAAATTTTTCACATCGACAACAAAATATAACACCTTATTATCAATATATCAACATGTTTTTGCAAAATATCGCATAAATCATCATTTTATATTCACGAATAGAAACAATATCTTAAAATACGCAATGCTGATTAAGGATAATTGTTTAGTAGATGTCCATTTGCCCATGACCTTTTTCGCGGGGAAAATGGGGAATTTTGTGTGTAATTTGTGTAACCTCAGTTGCTAGGGATCAGATTCGCTCGGCTTGGATAGACATATCCAAGCTATACTCACACGTATGCAGTATCGTACGTAGGTTGAGTTGAACAGGAACCGTGAAAGCCCAACACTAATGAACCAATGGACCAAGTTATAACGAAATGGGCACAGGGATAGGGGAAATAATTGGAGAAAGAAGGAAGGAGAACGACTGAAACCCGATCAGATCCAGCTATACACCGCTGAACGTAGCACAAGGCTCATGATGGGCCAAAAACACCCTATCAACGCCTCACCGAGTACCAGCCCAACAAAGAAAGGCATGCCACGACGATAAGCCTTGATACCGCCGTGCTTGAGTAGCACCCATTTCGCAATCATCCCGAACAGCAGAGGGAACCAGACGACGTTCATTGTACCGGGCGCGACGCCGACAATATAGCCAGCAGGGTGGAGCGGACACCAGACAAATCGGGCACGTAGAAACATAATGCCGAGGTTCACGATAAAGCCGACGCCGAGAACTAGCATTGCGAACCAATCCGTTGGTTTCGGATTGATCAGCCAAGAGGAAAGGAAATTGTATGCCTCCGCACCGCCCGAGTGTATCTGCTCCGAACCCGCCGCAACACCTTCCTTGTAGATTGCGTAGGGATACAGGATAAGAGCCGATTCAATCCCCACGATGCTGGCGATAATCAACACGATGAGCATTGTGCGGTTTCTGATGCCGGTGCGTTCTGCGAGTTTGAACGCTTCCATCTGATCCGGCATCGGGTGCGTCCGAAACGACGCGTAACTCGCGCCACTCAACCAATTTAACAGGGAAAGCATCGTCAGATTCCCTGCACGGAGACGGCGCGTCCCGAACATGGAGATTGTCAGGTATTGGGGTGTGACATATCCGACTGCCTGAATGGGAGGTCCAAGTTCCGCTCTCATGCGGGTCAACCCAACAATAATGAGCAGGTAGATCGCGATGAAAATCACACACCCCCAGATCGACATGCCACTTTTCACACAGAACCCCATCAACACCAACAGGCTAAGACACAGTGTGATGACTGTTGCGCGATAGGAGAGCGCCTCCTCTGCTTCGTCCTCACGGTCGGGACGAAACACGCGAGAGATAACCTGTGAGAAATGCCTTCTACCGCTCCAGCATGTGATAAGCAACAGGGCAAAAAGCGCGCCGGTGCCTTGCTCACCAAAGAAGGGATACCCCGGCAGGTGCATGACACCCATCATACTCCCATACAACAGCTGCATCTTGCCGAACAGATAGAAAAATGCACAGGAGAAGGAGAAGGTCTAGCGGGAGGATAAAGCCGAGACCAATCATGTAGGGGTGAAGTCGCAACGGCATACTCCCCAACGCACTCCACGGCTTCTGCGTAAAGTAGATGTTGAGGTCGTATTGCTTAACGGGGATTGAGGGCAATGCGGGGAAGAAATACTGAAGTCCATTGAGCAGATTGATCCCCGCGGCAATCCCAAAGCCCATCCAGAGTAGACGGTTCTTGAAGATTGCTCCGTCGTCCGCTGTAATCTCCAGCGGAATTTGGATCACGGGATACGCCAGCTTTTCATGTGCCACCCACTGCCGCCGGATCAGGGAGGTCAAACAGAGAAAAACCAGCATCAAGGAGAAGATAACAACCGACCACGATAGGATCGGCGTGATCCAGTATCGGTAGTAGCCATCCCTGAAGAAATCAACCTCTCCCTCGAAGAAGTCGGTGACCGCCCTCAAGTCTGAGACAACTAGCCACGGCGGCAGATGACGGAATAGCAGTGCCTCCCAATCGTTTCTCAGGGGTCGCAAAACGGAAGGCGTAGGGGATAAGTCCCATTAAGCGAGGGATGCAGTCATGCCCAGAAAAAGCACTCCCCACAGCGAGCATACTATAGATGACCAGCAGGTCTTGCCGGCTGAGTGCCGCACTCGGGGCGATCTGACGGACAAGGATGTTCAGTCCGTAATCACCAAGAGGGCAAACATGACGTTCACCGACAGTGTAACAATCGTCAGGTGGGCGGTATGCCACAACATCTCAATGTAGGCAATCCAATAGCTGTTGGCAATAATCAGCACCACACCGATCAGCACCGCACGTTTAGTAATTTTGGTAAAAGATTCTTGTCTGAGCATCTTATTTGAGGATAATCATTTTGCGGGTCGCAGAAAACGCACCCGTCCAAATTTGATAGAAATATAAGCCGCTCGCAACCTGCTCACCATACATATCTTCTCCATCCCAGTAAGCCGCCCTACCGCGAGTGATGTATGTCCCAACGTGCTGATAGCCGAGATCTAACTGACGGACACGCTCACCGTTGTATCAGTAAATTGAGATAACCACCTCTGAATCGGTAGAGAGTTGATACGGGATCCATGTTTCCGGGTTAAACGGGTTTGGGTAGTTTTGCAGCAACATCGGTTTCTCAGGGAATAGCTCTGTCATTGACACTCGCTCGGCGACCACGTTCACCGGAATCGCTCTTGTCAGCGAATCCGCCAGTTGTAGGTCAACAAGCTGGATGAGGGGCTTTGACGCCGGGGTGACCGTCTTTTTAACATGAAAACAAGCGTAGCCAGTGAGCCCTCTGCCGTTACACCTTCCAACGTTCCTTGACGAGTCTGTATCAACTTCAGTTCTGTCCCTTGCTGGGAGATCTGCCAGTAACTTTGGGGTAGCGCGGCGGCTAAAACCGGGCTTGGCGACGCAGTGAGGAGCTCTAATATCGCTGGATCGTACTGGATTGAGAAATGGTAGCCGTAAAGATCGGCAATCTGTTGTGGTGTGGATTGAGACGGTCAATTGCGTGTATCCGTCGCACTTGGGGTCATCAGGAGACGCAACTCCCCTTCGGGCGATGCCGAGCGGAGTTGTCCAAAAATCGCGTTGGCGTGGCGTTAATGAATTTTTCGCCGAGATGTTGACCGACAAGCACAAGATCGAAGATGTCCACCTTGCCATCTTGGTTGACATCATACGGGGGAAATTCACCCGCACCGTCTCCTCCTTCGATCGTCAGGGTCAGTGTGTAGGTAAAATCCGCCCCACGTCCCCCGGCAGTATCTTTAATCTCGGCATAGTAAGTTCCGTCCACAGGAATTTCAAATCCTTCTAGCATTGAATCAAAACCTGGTACAAAGAGCGGAGCTCTGCTACAGGCTGCAAATCGCTATTATACAGACTCAAAATTAAATTGAAGAACGGATTGACAGGGTCGTCCCGTCCACCTTTAACGTAATAATCTGTCCCGCTGTAGCAGTAAACTGAAACGCATCGGCATCTCCGGCAAAACTGATGACCCCCTCAACAGGGACATCCACCGTTAAAGGGGTCGGTGTCCCTTTTAAGGCCTTCTGGTCATCTTCGGGAAGTTCGCCTTCAGATAACGTCAGCGTATAGGTATAAGTGGAACCAATCGCGCCTCCTATGAAACCGGCGACATCAACACAATACACACCATCAGCAGGGATGAGAAATCCATCAATCCGCACCTCTAAGCCATTGGGATTGCCCTGAATAGATACCAACGTTTCCCCAGACGCATCCACAAGCCCAAGTTGGGTCACAAAGATTAACTGTTGTGTAGGCACTTCTACCTCAACATGCAAGGGCAATGACAGTGCCCTCTAACGCTTCAAATCGGAAACCGTCCGAGTCATGAGGCTCGCGAGACGCAGGATCGCCGTGTAAGCGTAATAACCCCTGTTACAGGTTCGTCGAAGGTCAATGGCGTTTCCTCGCCACTGCCGCAGGCTGCATGGTCATCGGTCTTCCCACCGATCGTCAGCGTGTAAGAGTAGTTCAGACCGCCGAAGGGAACATTAAGATTGGGAAGTGCAATGTTGCTGACAGCGAGCAGTACGTTCCATCGGCTGGTAGTTTTTCGTTCACATGGGAATCAATACCACGCGGATTTAGATCAGGAATCGGCTCCGGACCGGTGCGCGGCAAGACATCATCACTTTTAGCAAAGAGCTTACCATCTGGCCCATAGATAACGAGCAGAGAGTCGAGGTCAGAATCCTTCGTCGTAACAGTGATGTCAATGCGCTGCCCTTTCTCACCGTCAAACGCGAAGAAATCCGTATCTCCGCTGAAGTCGATGAAACTCTCTATCGTATCGCCTATCGCCACAGGTGTCGCTGTGTCAGACGTATCGCCGTGATTGTCAATGATGAGCACTAGTTTATAATCGTTGGTTGCCCCGTTGATCCCAGAAACTGCAACGAGATAATCACCAGGCACTAATTCAAGCGATGTGACATCCTTCGTCTCGAAAGTAACGAGCGCGACACCATTCGGTCCCGTCAATGTAAGCATCAACTCCCCGTAGATAGGTTGAAAATCAATTCCCAACCCGACCTGCATCGTCTCATCCAAATGGAATTGATAGTAATCATCATTGTCCGCCGTGTGGATCGACAGCGCTTCACTGACAAAAGGCAGATCAATTGCGGCTGCGGTATCCGCTGTATCGTTCTCCTCAAAGGCATCCGATGCCAATCTAGGCGGCGTAAAGAATCCACGGTTCTCCATAATCCCCAAGATGAAGTCAAAATTTACCCCGCCATTCAGTTCCTGATCCGCCATAAAAATCGCTGATGCCCCATCAACAAATTCCGCGTCGGGCGAGAGGAAGAAATGGCTCTCGACAATCAAGCGGATCGACGCATCGCGTCCAATCGCTTCAAAAATCTCCCATAGTACCGCGGACCAAATCTGACCATCGGCGTGCGGTTCACCCACAACGTGTTGGGGGTAGTGTTTGTTACCATTCACGAGACGAGTGGCAATCTCAGGGTCGTCTGAACCAGCCCATTCAAAAACGATCCAGTCACTAAAACCGTCGCTTACAGCACTGAAAAAACTGGCTGCGAGAAAATCACTAAACCCTTCGTGTATCGCGCCACCTTCGACCTTTGTTAATGTTAGGGACCTGTCGATCAAGGATCGCGTGGCCATATTCGTGGATGATCACTTCAGCATCTTCGGCAACATCGACACCAGCGTCTCCGAAATTAATCGAGCCGTCGCTGTCATCATAGAAACCAGCCCTTGTCATACCGAAATGTACATTTGCAGGAATCTGCCAATCGTCCACAAAATGAAGCCGAGTCCTTTCAGATAACGTCCAACGGCATCAATGTGATAATAGACCATCACCTCCTCAAATCGGGAATCATCTCGGAGGTAGTTGAACTCCAGTGTTGGCTCGTTGGCACGGTTTCGGTCAGTCTCGTACTCACGTAGGGACCATCAAGAAACCACTCCCGTCCAACTCAGGCAGAATCACATCCGTGTACGCTTCTTCTGGTATTGCGTCAGCAGAATCGCCCTGATCCATAAGCGTGAAATCTTTGAGGGCAACAACGGGATTCGGGTTAAAGACACGTCCCTGTCCGTCAGCAGACCTGAGTAGGTTCCGTCGTTGCAACGGTTCGCCGGTGTGAGCGTCAATGATATACTCCCAACTTGCGACCGGCTGACGGGAATGTACGATTGCGCGGTAAGCGAGACGATACGCATCGGCATAGTCGCCTATCTGCCCCGCGTTACGATTCGGAAAAATTACCAAATCGGCACGCGGCGACTTGCGCAAATCGAATGCACCAGCCTCGGCAATGGCGATGTCGGTCGCTTGGTCCGGAGAGAACGATGCCGTTGTACTGATGTTAATCCGTGGAAAGTAGTTGCTGTGGATAACGCGTATCTGCCCAGAATGGTTGGTATGGATGGAGATTGCCGCACCGTAAACTTCGACACCGTTGTAGTATTGATGGAATCGAACATGCCTGCCTGTTAAGCTGTTTTGGATATCTACGAGACGCAGCTCGATGTTCGGATCAGTCATCGCAAAAAGGTCACAATAGTTGCTAAGGCACTGATGTGCTGATGTTTCTAATGTTCCCATTTGGAGCAGGCAGCGTCAAATTGTAAAGGCTCCGGACTGTCCCCCGGTTCGGATGCCATCGTGCACGGACAGGGGTTTCTGAATCGGATTTGATCCGCTGCAACGCCGCTCCCGCTTTCAGTTGAATCTGCTGTCTCACCTCCGTTTTGGCATACACCGAAGATGGAACACATATTAGGATTGTATAGAGTGCTAGCGCAATAGATATGAAGGCAATCCGCTTATTCATGGAAATACTCTCTCTTTAATTTCAAAACTGCCTTTAACACAAAAATGGGAGCATGGGCATAAGATCTTGTCCGATAGCCCGATGCTCCCATCGTTTTGAAAGTTTTTGACGTACTCCCACACCCTAAAGGGTGGGGATTCTTATGTCCCATCCCGATAGGTTGCTTAATTGTGCGGTCAAACACGACTGCGAACCGAAGTCCGTCTTACATATCGCTAACGCAATGGACAACGCCCTGCCCACTGCCCTCACGGGCAACTTTGACGAGACGGACATACCACAACACGCTCCCGTCGGAGAGTGGGAAAACCATTGCTAATAGTTTTCAAGGGTGAGTCCGTTTCTGGTGGGGATTATACCATTTTTCACCTGCAATTTCAACCTTTTTTGACTAACTTACGGGGTTTGCCGTTCTGTATCCCCGCCATAAATGACGGGGATACAGAACGGAATATTCTGATAAATTTTATGGCGTACAAGCCTCATTGCGCTGTGTTCACGATTTTTATACGCCAGATAAATTACGAATAGGTTATGATCTACTTCAAAATCAGCATCTTCCGTGTCGCCGAAAAGTCAGGGGTATGCAAACTGTAGAAGTAAACCCCTGAGGCAACATGTTCGCCTATGTTGTTACGACCATCCCAATACGCCGCCGTCGAACGCGTCATGTAGAACCCCTGCGGCTTAAAACCGAGATCCAGCGTCCGTACCATACGACCGGACGTGTCGTAAATCTGGAGAACAATATCTGCCGATTTTTCAAGTTGGTATGGAATCCATGTTTCTGGGTTGAACGGATTCGGGAAGTTCTGTCCCAATATCGTTGATGCCGGATGCACATCGCCGACAGTCAACGGCAGGCTCAGGTAAGCTTTCCGAAGGTCTTCAATACCAACCTTATACGTGAAGGGACCCGAGACGATATTTCCCAAATCATCGAACAGGATAACCTCTAGCGCATCACCAGCTTCGATGACGCTCTTCCGCGTTAGGTCTGCCCAGACGGTGTTGAACTCCCTGCGGTCGCTCGAAACTAGCCTTGTTCGACTTCACCGGTGCGGTGATTCTTCGCAACGACTGTGTAGGACACACCCGCCTCAGTTTCTAGCAAATCGCCGCTGACAACAAACGCCCATGTCGTGCTCGGAAGTTGGATACCCGGTGCAGCCGCTGCGTCTTCCACCGTGTTACCCCACGCTGTTCCCGTAAAGGTGACCATGCCGCCACCGGGAACGTTGACAATATAACCCTTACCACCTTCAATCGGGAAACCATCGCCCTCTTGGTCCGCGGTGAACCCGACAAATTGCTGCATCGCCGTGTCAAGCTGAATCACAACGGTTGCGCCAATCGCCGCAGCAAACGAACTTGCCGTGTAAGGTTCTGCCGGCATCAGTGGCAAGGAGATCATGTTCAGCCCAGCTGCCAACCCCATCTCAAACATATGCGTAGGCTCCGGGGGTAGTTCAGGTTCCACAGGCATCTCAACACCTACAGGGGCAACAGTCACACGTGCGGTAGGCTCTGCCCAACCAAACGTAGCACCTACATCAGCAGTACCAGCGATACCGGGGTGCGGCGCAATAACGCCTCCTTCAGTCGGTGCACGTTCACCACCACCAAACGGGGGTCCCGGAACATGCGTTGCCAACTCGTTGTTATCTTCCGTACCGGCATCATAGGATATTAAATCCATTGTGAACGAGCGAGCGTTACCATCTTCGTCAAAGAGCGGTAAACTGTTCGCTAACACAATGCCATCGTTGGTCTGCACAAGCATCGTCGCCAATGAGAGATAAGCCCATACTAGAACTAGCACTGACCATCGCTGAAACGGAACCACCGGGAAGCACTACCCCATCAGGGGGAGCAGGAAATGCAACGATACCGCCGACTGCGTCTGAACCGCCAGCCAATACAGCGACCGGCATATTGTTACCAGTTTCCGCCAATGCAGTGAGTTCAGGGCTAGCTGCCTCACCTGATGCACCGATTGAAAATCCGTGACCATGAGTCACAAGGATTGGTGGTGAAAAAATCTGACCACCTTGGGCTGGGACACCCGTAGTTAGGTTTGTCAACATTACTTCAAACTCAACAGGTTCAGGCTCCATGGGTGGCATCTCGACTATCGCTTCAACAGTCACGGTTGCGGTAGGCTCTGTCCAACCAAACGCAGCCCCCACATCAGCAGTACCGGCGATACCGGGATGCAGCGCAATGACGCCTCCTTCTGTTGGTGCGCGTTCCATGCCGTCAAATGGTGGTCCCGGAACATGCGTCGCTAACTCGTTGTTATCTTCCGTACCCGCGTCATAGGATATTAGATCCATTGTAAACGAGAGTGGGTTACCATCTTCGTCGAAGAGCGGTAAACTGTTACCTAAAACAATGCCGTCGTTGGTTTCCACAAGCATCGTCACCAACGAGAGATACCCAGCACTAGCACTAGCGGTGACCATCGTTGAAATGGACGCCCGGGAAGCACTACCCCATCAGGGGGAGGAGGAAATGCAACGACACTGCCTACTGCGTCTGAACCTATAGCCAATGCAGCGAGAGGACCATTGTTGCCAGTTTCCGCCAATGTGGTAAGTTCAGCACTCGCTGCCTCACCCGATGCACCAATTGAAAACCCATGACCGTGTGTCACAAAAATCGGCGGTGAAAAAATCTGACCACCTTGGGTTGGAACGCCTGTAGTAAGGTTAGTCAACGTCACCTTAAATTCAACCCCTGCGGGCATCTCAGGCATCATGGGCATTTCAAGCGCAGGACCGGTAACCATGCCACCTTGGACAGTCACATCTATTGCAGCAGCATCCGGATCAGAAATCAAGACATTGGTTAATCCGATTGTCGAGCCTTTGACCTCTTTAACCGTAAAAGTAACCGTGGCAAGTGTGCCGTCCCCGTCTGACGTAGCACCAACAGCGGTTGCACCAAGTCCCACACTCGTATCGGTGGCAGGCAGTGGCGCGACAAACGCACCGGTAGGTAGATAATCTCCGTTTGCGATGCTGGCATCTGAGAGCGCAGTTGGATCAAATGTCACGGTTACTTGATAACCGGCGACATTCATGCCGCCTGTGATGTTGATATTAAGGGTCAACTGCTCCCCAGCGGCTGGAGATTCAACTGAGGCGGGGTCAATTGAGACCGTTTGACCATAAGTTACACCCTGAACTGCAATTAACATAAATGCAGCTAAAATGACAAAGAACGTTTTTGGATTAGCAATCTGAGTTTCATCAGATAACTCCTTTCATCCTCGTGGAGGTTAATTCTGTAGTTGTGTTAGATATTGCCAATATGGCAACGCTATTCTCTATTATCATTCATTATTGAATCTTTTCAGAGAACGGCAGTTATTATAAGCAATTTTTTGAGTTTCGACAAGGTTTTTTTCTGAAAACAGGACTCTCAGACGGTCATCACACTAAAAAAATCATGCCGCTTCTCCCTCTAGGCGTAGACTTTCGCATACCTCCGGGAGGGGTCATGTGAGCCTCATCAAAAACAATTTTTTTATCACGTTTCACGTTTCATGCCTTACACTTCACGCTTCACGTCATCCTTCAGCCGACCAATCAACACCCGGTTCATCTATCGCGAATCTCCTCAATCCTTTCGGGCGTCCACTCGTAGAACCCTTCCCCCGACTTGACGCCGAGTTTATCTCCCTCGACCATCTCGCGGAGCAGCGGGGTTAATCTCCGATGAACTGTTGAGATCCTTGTAGAGCTCCTCAAACGCTGCGAGGACGAGATCCCACCCTGCCAACTCAAACACCTGAAACGGTCCGGCGACGCTCAGACGACGTCCAAAGCTGTTGCGGACCACCAGATCGACATCCTCTGCGGTTGCAATACCACGTTCAACGATTGAAATGCTTCGCGGATTACAGCAGCTTGCAAACGAGGTCCCACAAAGCCGGGGACCTCCTTCTGAATAATTGCTGGTGTCTTCCCGATTTTCACCATCAGATCATACGCTATCTGCAACGTCTCATCCGACGTCTTCGGACTGCGAATCAACTCAACAAGCGGGATGAGATAGGGCGGATTAAAATAGTGGGTGTTCAAATCTTATCTTGACGCTGGGTAAACGCGCCAATCTGCGAAGGCATCTGTGCCGTCGTGTTGCTGGCAAGAATCGTGCGCGGTGGGCAGATCTGATCCAGTTGGCGGAAGACTTCCTGCTTGAGGGGCAGATTTTCGATCACCGCTTCAATGACGAAATCCGCTTCCCGTCCAACGGTTTCAAGCTGATCCGACCCGTGGATCCGACCGAGCGTTTCATCAATCTGATCGGGCCCAGCGAGGTCGTTTTCCACAAACACCTGAAGGTTGTCTCGTATCCGCTCCATTCCAGCATCAACCTGCGCTTGGCTCACATCGTGCAGATGAACCTGATAACCGGCAAACGCAAATTCTTGGGCGATCCCATGCCCCATCAAACCCGCCCCAATGACAGCGATCTGTTGAATATCGTCAAGTGTCATACAACTCCTTTTCAACCTTATCTAAACCCAATCTTCCTTAGCTTTAAGCACAATGTAGTATAACCCAAGTTGCTAGACAATCTGTAGGTCGAGTTATCATAATCGACACATATCAGAAATAATCAAACTTACGAAACACCTGTCGCCCCGCTGGGGCTTGGGTCAATAGGTTTACCGATGTTCTATATACCTATCACCCCACTGGGGCTTTGTAGTTCCGGCAAGTTGAAAATTCCGATTTATCGGGTTCCGCGAAGCGAGATCCTTGACAAGTTGGGAGATGTCCGACCTACGGGTATAGGGTATTGACTTTTATCGCGCGGCACATAACTAGCAACTTGTGTTAGTATAAGATTCATCGGTTCGATCAACCAATGAACCAATGAACTAATAAACCAGTAAACAAATTGCTTTCACGTTTCACGCCTCACGTTTCATTAGACTCTCCACCGCTTCCGCATCTCCTCCATCGGCACCGTCTCACCTTGCGTCCACGCATAATGCGCGATCGGGTCCTCCCCGATCCAACGTTCATCGACAGGCTCATCGGCGCGTTGATAGCGTGTGTCGGTGCTGAGACGAAAGCGATGGGTCGTATTGTCTAGCGAGCCGTGCATGGTGTACATGCCAAAGATCAGCACATCCCCCATCTCAAACGAACTCGTACCCCACTGCCCGCCGTAGCGATCCGCCAATTCGATCGGGTCATACGAGAACGACCGGTCACATGGTCACGATCAACGTCCATCTTTCCGTAAGTCTCCTTGAGGACATCAAAACGGTGGGAACCAACGAGAAGCACCAACGGACCCATGTCGAGCGGTACATCGCCGAGCGGTGTCCAACAGGTGACGAGCTGCTGCGTACCACGTCCCCATGTAGACAATGTCGTATGTGCGCCGGTAAAGCCCCCCGGTCCGACCACGCGCAACCATTTATAATCGTAGGTGATGACGGGTGCATCGTAGAAGCCTTCACAAAAACCCATAATCTCCGGCGATTCGACCAGATTCAGAAAAGGGGGTTCATGGGTAACGGCTTTGTTCCCGCCCATAAACATACCGCGCTTGGCTTCCGCTGGCACCCCCTCTAAAAGTGGGTATGCCCGATCAAGTTGCTCATTTTCGTCCAACTTTTCGAGGAGAAATCGGCGGGTTGCTTTGACCTTCTCCGGGTCGTGCAAGCCGCGAATCAGCAGATAGCCGTCCTCTTTCAACCGCGCTTGAAGTGCCTCGCGGTCACCGAGTAGATCGTTCGCTTCACGCAACCAGCCGAGGTACTTTCCGCCCAATTCCATCTCTTTTTGGTTCATCGTTAGAATCATCTTAAGCCTCCGTTTTTCTCCCTTCCAAAATCTCGCTCCAAGGTTCAACAAAACAGCGGTCTGCCCACGCCTGATACAGATCACTCAGTTCCTTAACCCGCTCTGGAAACTGTCCAGAAAGGTCGTTGCACTCGGTGCGATCGGTTTCCATGTCATAAAGCTCCCAATCCCCCGGATACTTACAAACCAATTTCCATTTCCCTTTTCGCACCGCTGCATTGCCCTCATGCTCCCACACCAGTGCCTCCTTGTCATTATCTTCTCCGTCAAAATAGGCGTGAGGCTGATCCCCTCCAAGGGAAAGATTGGAGTCCCGTTGTGTTCGTCAGGATAGGCTGCCCCAGAAACCTCAAGGCAGGTCGCCATGATGTCGGGGAGTTGCCCCGGCTGATGGCGCAACGCTCCCGCTGTTTGAATCCGATCTGCCCAATGCACGATGAGCGGTGTAGCAATGCCACCCTCATGCACCCAATGCTTGTATTCACGGAAGGGAGTGTTGGAAAGGTTCGCCCAAGGAACACCGTAGCTCTGATATGTGGTCTCAGGTCCGGCATAAGGCTCGGATCGTTGCCTCGATACACCGGTTGCCCATCGTGCGTGGTCTCGGTCTCGATTAAGCCGTCCTTCCCGACACGATTCGCAGGTCCCTGGAGCTCCTCCGCACACCCACCGTTATCAGCTAAGAAAAGGATCAGCGTGTTATCCAACTGGCCCGTTTCCTCCAACGCCGTCACGATCCGACCAATCCCCTGATCCATGCGATCAATTTGAGCGGCGTAGACCTCCATCCGTCGCTGATTCCACTCCTTGTGCTCGGCTTCCTCCCACGGCGGCTGCGTCGGGTCCCGATCGGTCAACGCCCAGCCCTCATCAAGGATGCCCATCTCCCGCATCCGCAGTAGCCGTTCCTCACGGAGTTGATCCCAGCCCGCCGCAAAACGTCCCTCGTATCGCTCAATGTCTTCGTCATGGGCGTGGAGGGGCCAATGGGGCGAGGTGTAGGCGACATAGGTAAAGAACGGTTGATCGGCAGTCTCCTTGGCGTGATCTCGGATAAACGCAGATGCCTCATCGCTGATCGCATCGGTCAGAAAAAAGCCTTCGGGGATTTCGTCGTGCGGAATATGATCGTTGTCGCGGGTCAGTGTATTCGGCTTCCAATAGTTGGCAGCTCCCGTGATAATCCCGAAATAGCGATCAAAACCGCGCTGACGGGGCCAACTGTGTTTCGGTCCGTCCGGATCGGTATGTCGGGAGATATGCCACTTTCCGCTCATGTAGGTCCGATACCCCGTAGGTTTGAGGGATTCAGCGATGGTGACACAGTCGGTCATTCAGGTCCCCGCGATACCCCTCCAAACCATCGTTCGACATCATGTGTCCAACCCCTGTCTGATGCGGGTGGAGTCCGGTCAGCATCGAAGCCCGCGAAGGACAGCAACGGGCGGTGTTATAGAACTGCGTGAACCGCAATCCACCGCCAGCCAGCCGATCCAGATTCGGACTGTGGATCTCCCCGCCGTAACAACCGAGGTCTGAATAGCCCATATCATCGTTCAAAATTAGAAGTATATTCGGCTTTTTATCTTCATTCATACTTTTCCTCATTTGATCCCATGAATAATTTGTTTTCACGTTTCACGCTTAGTTTACCAAAGATTTACGTGAGGATCAAGCGAATTCTTAGAAGTTTCTAATTGGGACGCAAAGGTCTTGACGTGAATCCAATCTTGTGGTAAACTCGATCTCTGAATCGCATCACCATCACCAACTTAATTAAGAACTAATACGCCATAACCCGCAAAAAATCCGATGCTCCCACTCGACCTGCTCCGCTATCGAATTCAGGAAGACGAGATTTGCGCCCGCTATGTGAACCCGGAGAACAAAAAGTACCGCGCAATCGCAAGGGATCTAATCGAGATTTACGCAACACATCTCAACAAAACCAAAGGACGCTCGCTTCGGTACTAGCGGATTATGAGGCGGCTGACACCAATTACCATATCACGCGGGGGCTTGCCAGACTGCTCGAAGACCGCTCGAATTACAATCCAGTCCCCAATTGAGCCAGAGTGCTTCGAGAAAAAATCTTCGTCTACGCAAGTAAACGCCATCCAGTTGTCACTAAAAGAGATAAGCTACACCGGCAGACACGCCCGAAGGTGCTAGAAAAAGTCGCTGATGAGTTTAAGGTTTCGACAGATGCGGTGCTGGACAGCATGTATGCGGACCTAGAGGAACCGCATCCTGACGGGGTTCGAGCCGCCGACCGCCGAGTGGTTGCTGGATCGGTATAACGTCGCACTTCACAAGCGATGCTTTACCGCGCCAGCGGAAATGCAATCCCTAACTATTTTATCGCAATATCCCAACGAAATACAAGTTGGTGTTCCAGTTCATCAAGTTTTTTAAAGCTGATGCACGTCGTCTCCGGGAACAATGTTGTTTGGGGTGGGGGGGGGTTTGGTGGTTGTTGTGGTGGTTGGTGTTTGTGTGGGTTTGTTGGGTGTTGGGTTTGTGGGTGTTTGTGGTGGTTGTTGGGTTTTGTGTTGGGTGTTGTGGGGTGGTTGTGTTGGGTGGGTGTTTTTTTTGTGTTGGGGGGGTTGGTTGTTTGTGGTTGGGTTGGGTTGTGTTTTGTTTGTGGTTGTTTGTGGTGTTGTTTTTGTTTTTGTTTTTTTGTTTTTTTTGTGTTTTTTTTTTGTTTTGTTGTTTTGTTGTGTTTTGGCGGACGGTATCAAATCGTTCTTGACGGTCCCGCATCAATGTTCCGACTGTCTCAGATACGGTATTCAGATGGCACTGTTTCTACCCGCCCTATTGCACTGCGATCGGTGGTGGCTGGACGCAACAATTGTCATGAATAAAAACGAGCACCTCCGATTTGAGCTCACCGACGAATTTGGGCTACGATCCCACTATCGCGATCCCGGCGAGTTTGATAGCGAACTGGAACGGCATTTCGCAACACAGTTTGATAAAATTGAGACAGAGTGGACGCTTGAGCGCGAGACGGACATCATCACCCTCAAAGACACCGTGATGATTCCAGATTTCGCCTTCTCACATCCCGATGGACGGCGAGCGTTAATGGAAATCGTCGGTTTCTGGACGCCGGATTACCTCAGAAAAAAACTGTGGAAACTGAAACGGGCAGCTATGCCCAACATGATCGCCGCCGTGCTGACCCAACTAAAACTGTTTCGACCGAAGATTTTCGAGAGATCCCCGGCGAAGTGCTCTTTTTCAAAACACGGATTAAGCCCAAGCGGTACTGGAAAAAGTCGAAGCATGTGCAATCGTGGAGAAAGATCAAGGAAAGTAGTAGGCATACTCCGTATGCCGTAACCTCTACACACCCGTAGGTCGGGCATCTGGCTCTGTTACGCAGCACTACCACACCCCGTAGGCGGGGCATCTTGCCCCGCCTTATGCCGATATCGGTTTTATAGGTAGACCGGGCATCTTGCCCGACCAAAAGCCCCAGCGGAGCGACAGGTGCATTTTCGCTCCAGAGGAGCGTAATGTCTATAGAATCACGCCCCCCCAATCCCTGCGCTCCAGAGGAGCGCAATGTGGATAGCAATGAACTAATGAATCAGTGAACCAACACAGCCCCACTATTCGGGGCAGCCAACAATAATTCGTAGGGAACGGAGATCTCCGTTCCGTCTCTTCTTACCTTCCCCCTCCCTCCCCTTCTCGCTTGCTGCTTTAACACCTATTGTCCCTCCCTAGGGCTTTAGATGCCAACTTGCGTTATTACACCAACTCCGTCATAAATTTTCCCCTATCAAGTGAACCAGCGATAAAATTGCTATTTCACGGTTCTTTAAGATTTTCAAATCAAATACAGATAAAGTGAAAAAAGGCGTTGACTTCTATCCGATGTCCTAGTATTCTGATAGCAATGGGGTTTGTAGCGAGACAGTGAGCCACCCCCGGATACGGGTAGGTGCCCTGACAATCAAGGCACAAACCCCCTCACGCATCCTCAACCACAGAGGAGATGAACCCATGATCAGACAACTCTTTCGTCTTTATTTATTTTTATTAGTCTGTTTTTCGATTTCGGTGACGGCAACCGCACAAACGGTGGATATCCCCGACCCCAACCTCCGCGCTGCGATTGAAGCCGAACTTGGCAAAGCACCGGGTGCCACCATCACCATGGCGGATATAGCGAATTTAACTAGGCTTAGCGCACTATTTGCCAATATTAGCGATTTGACCGGGCTTGAAGCTGCAACCAACCTAACAGAACTGTTGCTTGCGGACGACTCAATAGCCGACATCTCACCTCTGAAGGGATTAACCAACCTGACAGAACTGTATCTTTCGGACAGCTCCATATCCGACATCTCACCTCTGGCAGGATTAAACAACCTGACAGAACTGTCTCTTGGGTTCAACTCCATATTCGACATCTCACCTCTGGCAGGATTAAACAACCTGACAGAACTGTTTCTTGCGACAACTCAATAGCCGACATCTCACCGCTGGCAGGATTAAACAACCTGACAGAACTGTTTCTTGCGAACAACTCAATAGCCGACATCTCACCGCTGGCAGGATTAAACAACCTGACACTTCTAAGCCTTGACTACAACCCCATATCCGACATCTCGGCGTTGTCGGGGTTAATCAACCTGATACGGCTGAGCCTTCTATGCAACTCCATCTCGTGACCTCTCACCTCTAGTTTGCAAATACGGGATTGGACAAGGAGACGCGATTATTGTAAGGAAATAAATCCCCTCAACACACGCCTCCTCAACACCCACCCATTCCCGCACTCCAACGCAGAGGGGTGAGGGTAGACTTTGACGACCTAGACCTAACACCGGTGGATATCCCCGCACCCCAACCTCCGCGCTGCGATTGAGAAGCCGACTTGGCAAAGCCTCGGGTGTCACCATCACATGGCAGATGATATGTGCGAAAAGTATCGATTTAGCTACGCTTAGCGCACTATTTGCGGGCATAGGTGTCGCGATTGTCGACGGGCTTGAAGCTAGTTCACCAACCTAGACAGAACTGTGGCGCTTGCCGACGACTCATATGCCTGACATCGCTGCACTCTGAAGGGTGATGACCAACCTGACAGAACTGTATCGTTCGGACAGCTGCCATAGCGACAATCTACCGCTGGCAGATGATAAACACCTGTACAGAACTGTCTCTTGGTATCAACTCCATATTCGACATCCAAAATCACTCGCTGGCAGTATCACACGCTGATCATGTAATCCTGTCTTTCTTGGGTCGGCACTCGCATAGCCGAGCACTCTCGGTACTCGCTGGCAGGATTAAACAACCTGACAGAACTGTTCGTCTCTTGCGAACATCTCATATCCGCGACATCTCCACGCGCTGCGGATAAACATCAACCTGACATCGGATCTCTTAGCCGTTGACTACAACCCCATATCCGACATCTCGGCGTTGTCGGGGTTAATCAACCTGATATGGCTGAGCCTTCTAGGCAACTCCATCTCGGACCTCTCACCTCTAGTTGCAAATACGGGATTGGGACAAGGAGACGCGATTTTTGTAAATGGAAATCCCCTCAACAACGCCTCCATCAACACCCACATTCCCGCACTCCAACGCAGAGGGGTGAGGGTAGACTTTGACGACCTAGACCTAACACCGGTGGATATCCCCGACCCCAACCTCCGCGCTGTGATTGAGAAGGAACTTGGCAAAGCATCGGGTGACACCATCACCGCAGATGATATGCGACTTTAACTAGGACTTAGCGGCACTGATTGTCGATATTAGCGATTTGACCGGGCTTGAAGCTGCAACCAACCTGACAGAACTGTTGCTTGGGTTCAACTCAATAGCCGACATCTCACCTCTGAAGGGATTAACCAACCTGACAGAACTGTATCTTTCGGACAGCTCCATATCCGACATCTCACCGCTGGCAGGATTAAACAACCTGACAGAACTGTCTCTGGGTAACTCATTCGACATCTCACCGCTGGCAGGTTAAACAACCTGACAGAACTGTTTTCTTGCGACAATCATATCCGACATCTCACCGCTGGCAGGATTAAACAACCTGACAGACTTTCTTGCGAACACTCTACCGACATCTCACCGCTGGCAGGATTAAACAACCTGACACGTCTAAGCCTTGACTACAACTCCATATCCGACATCTCGGCGTTGTCGGGGTTAATCAACCTGATATGGCTGAGCCTTCTAGGCAACTCCATCTCGGACCTCTCACCTCTAGTTGCAAATACGGGATTGGGACAAGGAGACAGGGTTCTTGTAGAGGGAAATCTCCTCAACAACGCCTCCATCAACACCCACATTCCCGCACTCCAACGCAGAGGGGTGAGGGTAGACTTTGACGACCTAGACCTAACACCGGTGGATATCCCCGACACCAACCTCCGCGCTGCGATTGAGAAGGCTCTCGGCAAGGCGTCAGGTGCCACCATCACCACGGAGGATATAGCGTATTTAACTAGGCTTAGCGCACTATTTGCCAATATTAGCGATTTGACCGGGCTTGAAGCTGCAACCAACCTAACAGAACTGTTTCTTGCGAACAACTCAATATCCGACATCTCACCGCTGGCAGGATTAAACAACCTGACACTTCTAAGCCTTGACTACAACCCCATATCCGACATCTCGGCGTTGTCGGGGTTAATCAACCTGATATGGCTGAGCCTTCTAGGCAACTCCATCTCGGACCTCTCACCTCTAGTTGCAAATACGGGATTGGGACAAGGAGACGCGATTATTGTAAATGGAAATCCCCTCAACAACGCCTCCATCAACACCCACATTCCCGCACTCCAACGCAGAGGGGTGAGGGTAGACTTTGACGACCCCTTTGACAAACCGGTGGATATCCCCGACTCCAACCTCCGCACTGCGATTGAGAAGGCTCTCCGCAAGGCGTCAGGTGTCACCATCACCACGGAGGATATGAAGAGCTTGTACGAACTTGAAGCACCTAACGCCAGCATCACCGATTTGACCGGGCTTGAACATGCAACCAGCCTGACATGGCTGATTCTTAACAACAACTCCATATCCGACATCTCACCTCTGAAGGGATTAACCAACCTGGTACGGCTGGACCTTAACAACAACTCCATCTCGGACATCTCACCTCTAGTTGCAAATACGGGATTGGGACCAGGAAACGCGGTTCTTGTAGAGGGAAATCTCCTCAACAACGCCTCCATCAACACCCACATCCCCACACTCATAAGCAGAGGAGTGAGGGTAGACTTTGACAACCCCTTTGACAAACCGGTGGATATCCCCGACTCCAACCTCCGCACTGCGATTGAGAAGGCTCTCGGCAAGGCGTCAGGTGTCACCATCACCACGGAGTGGATGAAGCGTTTGTACCAACTTATCGCCCCTAACGCCAGCATCACCGATTTGACCGGGCTTGAAGGTGCAACCAAACTGACATGGCTGGAGCTTCACAACAACTTCATATCCGACATCTCACCTCTGAAGGGATTAACCAACCTGAGACGGCTGGAGCTTCACAACAACTCCATATCCGACATCTCACCTCTAGTTGCAAATACGGGATTGGGACCAGGAGACGTGATTATTGTAAATGGAAATCCCCTCAACAACGCCTCCATCAACACCCACATCCCCACACTCATAAGCAGAGGAGTGAGGGTAGACTTTGACAAACTGGTGGATATCCCCGACTCCAACCTCCGCACTGCGATTGAGAAGGCTCTCGGCAAGGCGTCAGGTGTCACCATCACCACGGAGGATATGAAGCATTTGCCCCAACTTATCGCCCCTAACGCCAGCATCACCGATTTGACCGGGCTTGAAGGCGCAACCAACTGACTACTGGAACTGGGAACAACTTCTATCCGACATCTCACCCTCGAAGGATTAACCAACTGAGACGGCTGGAGCTTCACAACAACTCCATATCCGACATCTCACCTCTAGTTGCAAATACGGGATTGGGACCAGGAGACGTGATTATTGTAAATGGAAATCCCCTCAACAACGCCTCCATCAACACCCACATCCCCACACTCATAAGCAGAGGAGTGAGGGTAGACTTTGACAAACTGGTGGATATCCCCCGACTCCACCTCCGCACTGCGATTGAGAAGGCTCTCGGCAAGGCGTCAGGTGTCACCATCACCACGGAGGATATGAAGCATTTGCCCCAACTTATCGCCCCTAACGCCAGCATCACCGATTTGACCGGGCTTGAAGGCGCAACCAACCTGACACTACTGGAACTTGGGAACAACTTCATATCCGACCTCTCACCTCTGAAGGGATTAACCAACCTGGTACGGCTGGAGCTTCACAACAACTAATATCCGACTCTCACCTTGAGGATAACCAACCTGGTACGGCTGGAGCTTCACAACAACTCAATATCCGACCTCTCACCTCTGAAGGGATTAACCAACCTGAAATATCTGCTTCTTGATAACAACTCCATATCCGACATCTCACCTCTGAAGGGATTAACCAACCTGAGACGGCTGGAGCTTCACAACAACTCCATATCCGACATCTCACCTCTAGTTGCAAATACGGGATTGGGACCAGGAGACGTGATTATTGTAAATGGAAATCCCCTCAACAACGCCTCCATCAACACCCACATCCCCACACTCATAAGCAGAGGAGTGAGGGTAGACTTTGACAAACTGGTGGATATCCCCGACTCCAACCTCCGCACTGCGATTGAGAAGGCTCTCGGCAAGGCGTCAGGTGTCACCATCACCACGGAGGATATGGCGAATTTAACTGTGCTTCGCGCACTATTTGCCAATATTAGCGATTTGACCGGGCTTGAACATGCAACCAACCTGACACTACTGAATCTTCCGGACAACTCAATATCCGACATCTCACCGCTGGCAGGATTAAACAACCTGGCAGAACTGTATCTTTCGGACAACTCCATATCCGACATCTCACCGCTGGCAGGATTAAACAACCTGATATGGCTGGAGCTTCACAACAACTCCATCTCGGACCTCTCACCTCTGAAGGGATTAAACAACCTGATATGGCTGGAGCTTTCGGACAACTCCATATCGGACATCTCACCGCTGGCAGGTTTAACCAACTTGAGAATCCTGGGACTTTCGGGCAACTCAATATCGGACATCTCGCCTGTGGCAGGTTTAATTAACCTGATAGAATTGTCTCTTGAGAACAACTCCATATCCGACATCTCACCATTAGTAGCAAATGCCGGATTGGGGAGTGGGGACACGGTTAGTGTAAGCGAAAATCCCCTCAACCACGCCTCCATCAACACCCACATTCCCGCTCTTCAAAGCAGGGGGGTTGAGGTATACTTTGATGCCCTAGAGCCTGCGACGCCAGAATACCTCCTGTCGATACCAGCGGGCATCAGCTTGATTCATGTGCCACTGAAGGTGACAGAGGTTGACGGGCAGCACAGACCATCGAATCGATTAGCGATCTCTACGACGCACTCGGCGGTACAAGTGCCGTCAACTTCCTCTTCACCTATGACTCCCGAGATCAGGAGTGGCGCAGCTATTTCGGTGCTTCGGACACAGGCACACCCGCCGACAGGGAATTGACTGATGACATGGGGATTATCGCCGGTATGATAGCCTCTGCCTCCATTAGTTTAAGTGGCAGTCCGCTAGGGACAAATGGAAGCGGCACCATCACCATAAACCCAGGTCTCAACCTTGTGGGGCTGCCGTTGAGAGATTCAAGAATCAACCGTGTGAGCGACCTGTTCGCGCTCGACGGGATTGGCGGCAACGTCCCTGTGATTATCCTCACCGATGGCGGAGAGTTCAAGGCGTCGGACGCGCAGATGATCCCGGTGATATTCCCATCGTTGGGGGACAAGCCTTTATCTTGACCGCTCAACGGGCGGAGACGGTTGCTCTCTCCGGCGATGGGTGGACTAACATCTCAGGAACGGCTGCCGCTCCATCGATGGCACTGACCGGTATCGAGGTAGGGGATATCACTCCCGTTTTGGGATTGAGGGGTGCTGTTGTTGACGAAGGAACGGGCGTCAACCAAGTGGGACTCCGTGTCACTGTCAAGAACCTTTCAACCCGCAGAGCAGTTGCCGCTGTTACAGGGCCCGATGAGGCAGGTTATCGGCTCACCGTCGTTGACATAGAAACGGGACGGGCAGCACAGATTGGAGATATTCTTGAAATCTCCGCGCAGTCTCCCAATCCGTTTATCGGTGTGAAGCCGTTGCGGTATACTGTCACGCTGAAGATGTGAAGCAAAGCCTATTCAGTTGCCAGAACTTGTTGCCTACGAGATACCGGCGGAGACGGAATTGTTGCACAACTATCCCAATCCGTTTAACCCGGAGACGTGGATACCCTATCGGTTGGCAGAGGACGCCTTCGTCACCCTGACCATCTATGACCAGACCGGTCAGGTTGTCCGCACAATCGACGTGGGACATCAGATTGCGTCGGTCTACGAAAGTAGGTCAAAGGCAATCTACTGGGATGGCAGAAATGGATTGGGTGAGCAGGTGGCAAGCGGCGTCTACTTCTATCACCTGTCCGCAGGCGATTATTCCGCCACACGCAAAATGTTGATCCTCAAGTAGCGTTCCGTGTACTATACCGTAGGTCGGGCATCTTGCCCGACCCCAAAGCCCTAGCGGACCGACATGTGTGTCTTTCGCTCCAGAGGAGCGATATGTATATAGGATGCCGATACCCCTGATGACTGCACTCCAGAGGAGTGCAATGTATAGGGCTTATCAATCCAACGAACCAATGAACTAATGAACTAACTCACGCATCACGTTTCACGCAGTACGGAAAGAAAGGAAAAACACAATGAACCCACCCCTCCCAAACAGACCGAAACAGTAACGCTCGACGGAGAGGAAGTCGCCTTCACCGAGGGGGAAACCCTCTACGAGATCTCGGAACGGAATCGGAAGGATATTCCGACGCTCTGCTACGACCCTCGCCTCGAAGCCTTCGGCGGCTGCCGCCTCTGCGTCGTTGAACTGGAAGGTGCGCGAACTCCGGTAGCGTCCTGCACGACGAAGGCGACGCCCGGCATGGTCGTCCGGACAGCGACTGAGGATATTGAGAAATACCGAAAGACCTTGTTGGAGATGGTCACGTCCGAAAACCGTGAGATCGATGTCGATTCGCTGCGCGGCTATGCGTCACAGGAGCTGACAACGCTTGTCAACCGCTACGAGGCGCGTACCGGACGGTTCATGGGTGCGATGTCAGGGACAGACCAAACAGACGACAAAAATCCCTTTATCTTTCGCGACTACGATCTCTGTATCTCCTGCTACCGGTGCGTCCGCGTCTGCGCCGAGCAGGAGGGTGATTACGCAATAAGCGTCATGAACCGCGGCTTCCACACGCAGATCACCACCGAGTTCAATGGAGATTGAGAGACTCAGCGTGCACCTTCTGCGGTCAGTGCGTGCAGACCTGCCCGACCGGTGCCCTCGCCGACAAGAAGGGCGATGCGTGCAGTCGAACTACCGGGCGAAATCGAGAAGACCCGCACAATCTGTCCCTACTGCGGCGTCGGCTGCTCGGTTGACCTATTGACCAAGGAGGATCGGATAGTCGGCATCCACCCAGCGATGGACGGTCCCGCAAACGAAGGAGCCCTCTGCGTCAAGGGTCAGTTCGCCTTCGATTTTGTGCACCACCCCGACCGGCTAACAACCCCACTTATTCGTGGCGAGGACGGCGAACTCCACGAGGCAAGCTGGGATGAAGCACTTGATCGCGCAGCCGAAGGGTTCCGGCAGGCAAGCGAAAAACACGGCAGACATAGTGTTTACGGTGTCGCCTCCGGCCGTGCACCGACCGAGGCAGCGTACCTCATGCAGAAGTTTATCCGTGTCGGCTTTGGGACAAACTACATCGACAACTGTAGCCGTGCCTGACACGCTCCGACGGTTGCCGGTCTGGCAGCCACAATCGGACGCGGTGCGATGTCGAACCCATTGGTCGACATGGAGAAGCCGGATGTGATTTTCTGTATCGGAACAAATATGACCGAATGCCACCCCGTTGCAGCGACACGCCTCAAAAAGGCAATCGCAAGGGGAGCGAAATTAATTGTCGCCGACCCGCGGCGCATCGGTCTCGCAGAGATGTCGGATCTCTACCTACCACTCCGTGTCGGCTCGGATGTAGCACTCCTGCTCGGCATGGCGCATGTCATCGCCCGTGAGGGGCTTATCGATCGAGATTTCATCGAGAGTCGGACGACAGACAGCGACGCCTTCCTCGAACACCTCGTCGAATTTACGCCGACATGGGCAGGAGGAGATTTCAGGGGTGCCTGCGAAGGATATCGAGACCGCCGCAAAATGGTACGGCGAATCGGGAAAAGCCGCCATCTACTACACACTCGGTATCACCGAGCATATCTGCGGCGTCGATAATGTGCAGAGCCTCTGCAACCTCGTGCTAATGACCGGCAACATCGGTCGCGAAGGCACCGGCATCAACCCGATGCGCGGTCAGAACAACATTCAGGGCGCAGGGGATAGCGGCGCGCTCCCGAACAACTATCCCGGCTTCCAACCCGTTATAGATCCCGCAAACCAAGCCAAGTTCAAGGAAATCTACGGCAGAGAGATTGACCTTGACAAGGGGATTACCAAAGTCACCGCGCTCGACCTCTGCGGCGAGGAGATCCGCGCCATGCTGATTGACGGCGAGAATACGCTACTCTCCGATCCCGACCGTGTGCATTGCGAACACGCCTTGAGGAGTCTTGATCACCTCGTCGTCATCGACATCTTCTTGACCGACACCGCGGACTTGCGGATGTCGTCCTGCCCGCGACCGCCTTCGGTGAAACAGACGGCGTTTGCTCGAACACAGAACGTCGCGTCCAGCGTCTGCGTGCAGCCGTGCCGCCGCCGGGTCAGGCACAACCTGACTGGTGGATCATCAGCCAACTCGCCAAACGGCTCGGCTTTACGGGTTTCGACTTTGGCGAACCGAAAGAGGTCTTCAACGAATTGTGCAGTGTCTCACCGATCTACGCAGGGCTCGATTGGGAGCGTATTGAGAACAGCGAGTACCAGTGGCCCGTGCCTGACAAAATCACCCCGGCACCCCACGATTGCACGAAGAGGAGTTTGTGAACGGGCGGGGTATCTTCTCAATCGTGCGTTACCGCGATCCAGCGGAGACCATCAGCGACGACTTCCCTGTTTGGCTGACAACCGGAGCGCACGGCTCCAATCTTACCACACACGCACACAAACTGGTCGGGCGCAGGGCATCGACTACCTACTGTCCGAAGAGGCACTTGAGGTGAATCCCGCTGATGTTGAGGGATTGGGACTCAGGGATGGCGGGTGGTGCGAGTTGTCAAGCGTACGCGGTGCTGTGAAGGTCAAGGTGAAATCCACCAACCGCTCACCGCGTGGAACCGTCTTCGCCAGCTTCAGCTTCAGCGATGTGCCTGTGAATATCCTCACCGGCTCCGGCTACGACCCGATAACGGAGACAGCGGAGACTCAAGGTGTGTCCGGTCCGTGTTGAACCGATCGATGATCCAAGGCTAGGCACCTAGCCCAACAAAGCGTCCACGAATCTCCACAAATCTTCACGAATGATTTAGAAGGCGTGATAATTTGAGGCATATCATCACCGAATTCGGGCATCGTAGGGGCGAGGTTACCTCGCCCGACGGGTTGGGAAACCCAACCCCTACGGGTCATGTCCTAGTAACCTGTAGGGGCAGGTCTTGTGCCTGCCCAAGACGGGCAACCACGAGGGTTGCCCCTACAAGTTGTGTAGGTTGGGTTGACGTAAAACGTGCTACCGTAAACACATCGTGTAAAGAAACCAACACCAATGAACTAAAATTCGCGAACCTACACGAACTATTTAGCGTAGATTCGCGACAAAAAAAATGACACGAACAAAACTATACTGCCTATTGACATTCTTCCTTGTGGCGACCGTCCCTTGGCTCTTCACAAAATCCCAAGCGGTACAGATTTTTGGGTTCCCGCCTTGGGCATTTTATAGCTTTTGCACGACAATCCTGTACGCCGTTGTCGTTGCGTTCTGTCTCCGCCGCTATTGGTCCGTGTCGGCGAAAGATGACGATGACCCTGAAGTCTAAAAACCTAAGTTGCCAGATAACCCGTAGGTCAAGTTTCCATACTCGACACCTAGTAGAAATAGCTACACACCTGTCGCCCCGCTGGGGCTTTAGGGGATTTGGGTTGCTGGTATGCTATACACATGCCGCCCCGCTGGGGCTTCAGCACAAAGACGAGAAAACAGCAAAACAGGGTAGTCCTAATAAGAATCAGTGTGCCTACAACTTTTTTGTGCATAACAATCACCTATCGTCAGATAGCCGCTATTTGAATAATTCTAAAGTCTGGAAACGTATAAGATGAACACAACAGCGACTGCTCGGTCCCGGTGGCATCATCTTTATGGGGGTCTATTTAACCTCCCTCATCGTGGTAGGGCTTGCCGGGCGATTCGCACGGCGAGAGGATTCGATGGCTGACTTCTACCTCGGCAACCGGGGGCTCGGCCTGTTTGTCCTATTCCTCACGCTCTATGCGACGCAATACAGCGGTCTCACACTGATCGGATTTGTCGGCAATGTGTATCGAACCGGCTATTTTTTCTTGGTGAGCGTAACCTTTTCGATGTCGATCATCGGTGCGTATCTGGTATATGCGCCCAAGTTTCACCGACTCTCTAGGCAACACGGATATATCACAGCCGGCGACTACATCCAACAGCGGTTCGGATCTACCACGCTAACGGCGCTTGCCACTGTTCTTTTCATTATCGCACTCGGAAATTATATCCTAAGCAACCTGAAAGCTATCGGGTATATCGTTGAGGCATCGACGGGCGGGCATGTAACCTTTGTCCAAGGCGTGATTGTCTTGTCGCTCATTATGCTGATTTACGAGACGCTCGGTGGATTGCGAAGCGTCGCATGGACCGACGCTATCCAGGGGGTTCTACTTTTGGTGGGGTGTATCTTTATCTTTGGTGTAATCAGCCACCAATACGGCGGATTATCTGCTACTGCGGGGAAGCTGATGGAAGCTCAGCCTGCCTTTTGGCAGCCGCCGACGGTGACACAAAAACTGACTTGGCTGAGCACATTGGTGATTGTCTTTTTCGGGCCGTCGATTTACCCACACGCCATCCAGCGCATCTACGCAGCGAAGGACGAACAGACGCTGCGACGTTCTTTCCAGATCATGGTCTTCATGCCAATTTTCACCACCTTCTTCATGTTCGTCGTCGGTCTTGTCGGCGCAGCACAGATGCCGGGATTGGATCGGGGTGGCAGCGAGCAGGTTGCCCTGTTTTTGTTAAACGATATGGCTGAACGGCTCCCCGGCGTCCGAATGCTGCTTATCCTCTTTCTTTCCGCCGCTGTCGCTGCGATTATGTCCACTGTTGACTCCGCGCTCCTTGCGGTCTCCTCCCTGTTTACGCAGGACCTGTATAAGCGTATACGACCTACCGTATCCCAGCATCACCTGACCGTAACAGGAAAGGTTTTCTCGTGGGGGCTAATGGCGGTGCTGGTTTTTCTGGCGATTCAACTCCCACAAACGCTCTGGCGGTTGACCGAGATTAAACTGGAACTGCTATGCCAAGTCGCACCCGCCATCTTCCTCGGTGTACACCTGAAATCCCTCCGCACCCATGCGGTTCTGTCAGGGCTTCTGGTTGGCACCTGCGTTGCGCTGGGGATTATGTTTGCCAATCTTGCCGGCATGGGGGTCGCAACGAAACCGCTGGGAATCCACGCCGGTGTCTGGGGGTTAGCCGCAAATTTCCTGACAATCGGACTCGTTTCAAAAGTAGCAGGCATACGCCGTATGCCGTAACCTCAAGAGTTCATTGGTTCATTAATTGCGCTAATGAACCAACATAGTTATAGCGGGGCAACATGTGTATAGAACTAAGTCATTCGTGGAAATTCGTGGAGATTCGCGGAGGCTTTACTCTGGGAGAAAACATAAACAATGGAACCTATCAAACTGGGTTATGTAGGCTGCGGCTTCATGGCGCAGAAGGTACATATCCCGAACTTCACCAGCCTCCCCAATTGCGAACTCATCGGGTTGGCAGAAGTACGCCCGGAACTCGGTGGTAAAGTGCAGCAGCGATGGGGAATCCCCCGCCTTTACACCGACCACACCGAACTAGCGGCTGACCCCGAAATCGAAGCCGTCGCGGTGTCCGCCGACTTTGCCTTGCAGGGGGAGATAGCGAAAGATCTCCTTAGTGCCGGGAAGCAGGTCTTCATGGAGAAACCGATGGCGGTCTCAGTCGAGCAGGCGGAGTCGATTGTCGCTGCTGGGAAAGCCGCCGGTACAAAACTGATGGTCGGCTACATGAAACGGTACGATGCCGGCAACGAACTGGTCAGGTCTAAAGTGGATCAGTTTCGAGAAACGGGCGAATTGGGAGGGATGACCTACGTGCGGAATCACGGTTTCTGCGGGGAATGGATCTGCAACCTTGACACACCGATGGTGACGAGCGACGTACCGAAACCGGACGCACCCGCACAGACACCTGAATGGCTGCCATCAGAATGGGTACGTCCCTACTTGAGCTACCTGCAGCAATACACCCACAACATCAACCTGCTGCGCTGGCTCTTAGATGCCGGCAGATCAGGCGCAGGTAAAAGTCGTTGACCTCGACGATAACGGTTACAGTGGCATCGTCATCTTCGACATGGTGGGTGTGCGCGTAACCCTCGAAACGGGTAGAGTTTCACACTATCGGTGGGATGAACATACGCAGATCTACTTTGAGGACGGTTGGGTGCATACGTGGGCACCGCCGCTCCTGCTGAAAAACACCCCCGCCGAAGTGGAAATCTACCGGGCGGGAGAGACGCAGGAGATCTCACGCCCAATCCCGAAACCCAACTGGACATGGGCGTACCGACGCGAGGCGGAACATTTCATCGAAAACGTTCGGAACGACACGCCGTTCAGATCTTCCGGCGAGGATACCTTGACCGATGTACGGCTGTTTGAAGATATCTATCGGATGCTTCTGGATCAACGTCGGAAGTGAATGAACGAAGCACCAACAGTTGATGAGAAAGGAGAGTATTATGTCGTCTTATGTAACGGTTGCAAAAACATCAAAGATTCGGAAGGGACGGGGCAAGGCGTTCACCGTCAATGGGAAACGGATTGCGGTTTTCAATGTTGACGACGAGAATTTCTACGCGCTGGACAATGCGTGCGCCCATGCGTTGGGTCCCCTTGGCAGAGGACGGGTCAGGAATGGAGCGGTCGTCTGCCCGGTTCACGGCTACGCATACAATGTCACAAACGGACGCTGTCATACGGATGAACGGCTCCGCGTTAGATCCTACGAAGTGGTTGTTGAGGACGACGAGATTAAGGTCAAGTGTTGAGGTCGTCCTCGTCTGAGGGTTCTACGGAAGGGGGATCTGACTGGTCTGTGAGCCGACGGTTGAGCCGGGTGATGTAGCGAAGTGTCGTCGAGAAGATCATGTCCAACGTGGCGATATCTCGTTCTTCCAACCGCGTCCGTGAAAACACACGCCGTAACGATTTCAAATAGGTCTCCCAATCGTGATTGTAAGGTGTAACATCGATCTGTTGCAATAGGGCTGTGATGCGACCATAAAACGCCTCGATCTCGTTGACATCCGCACACTCCAACTCCGCTGGCGGAATATCACCCGCGCTAGCGAGAAAAACTTCGTAGCGAACGACCTGCACCGCCTGCGCTAGATTCAAGGAGGGATTTTTCGACGCCATCGGGACGCTCGCTATCAACTGGCAGCGACTGATCTGGGAGGTGGATAACCCGAAATCCTCGCGCCCAAATAACAGTCCGACCTGCTGATGCTGCGAGATAGAGGCAATCTCTTGGGCAGCTTCTCTTGCTGAGACAGAGGGCGTCAGCCTTGGGGCCCTTCGCCGATGGGTGGTGCCGACGAGGAATTGAATCCCTTCGAGGGCGTCCTCTAACGTCTCTACGACGCAGCAGTTCTCAATAACGTCCGTTGCGCCATGCGCCATATACCATGTCGGTTTAGCCTCAAGAAATGGGACAGGATTAACGAGGTATAACTGGGAGAGTCCCATCCCCTTCAACGCCCGCGCTGCGGATCCGATGTTGCCCGGCTCACGCGGCTCGAACAGGATCACCCGAATGTTCTCCAAGTTGGTCGGCACATCAACCCGTATCGCTCGCTGACGTCCAATAGGTTCAGAGCTGGGAGTTGTTTCGTCGGTATCGTTCTGATGTTTTGTCATTGATAATTTTCTCGTTGGCTGTATATGAACCAATGAACAGATAGTTTTCACGTCTCACGCATCACGTTTCATTCATCGGATCGAATGCCATAATAATTTGCGTAAAATTGTTCACTCTCTCGACGCAGCCACTCCAGATCAGCGGCTTGAGCACCGAACCGCTGGTGAGAAAAAATGGTCAAATCTTCGCCGGGATCTCCGTCGATTATCCATTTCGCTAACCATCGACCAAGTGCCGGGGAACCAGCAATCCCCAACGCAGCACAACCGGTGGCTAAGTAGAGCCGATCTATCCCCGGCACAGGACCAATCAGATAAGCACCGTCGGGCGCGAATGTGGTCATGCCGCGTCGGTACTCCGCGATTTCAAGGTCTTTCAGAATCGGGAAGGTTGGAGTAAGCCGTCTCTGTGCCTCTGCCATGACCTCTCACAGGCGGTTCAATATCCCCTGTCCTGAAGTCAGTGGGCATCGTTTCCAAATCAATGCTGACCGGCGTCGGTTCAAAGAACCCGTAGAGATAACCCCCTTTGTCAGGTCTCAGATAGCAACTGACATCGGTGACGCGCACAGCAGGGTGGTGGTCAGGGATTCCGGGGGTCGGAACCGTGCGAGCCCGTTGATGGCGGATTGGTTGCACCGCCGCCGTCACGCCAACTTGCTTGGCGAGCCCAGCGACCCCACGGTCCCGCGGTGATTACGACATGGTTTGACCCAATAAAGCCGTTTTCCGTCTCAACTCCGAGGATCTCCCCATTGCGCTGCCGAAAGCCCGTTACAGGCGTATTCAACTGGATCTGAACGCCCAAATCCTTCGCTGCGGCGGCATAAGCGCGAGCGCACTGCTGGGGATCGACATAGCCATCGTTGGGGACGAAATAGCCGCCCTCAATCTTGGTTCACATCCAACGCAGGGGCGAGGCGAGCCATCTCCGCGTGGGAAACAAAGTCCGCCTCGATGCCGTTTAGGTGCGATCGTTCAATTTGACGTGCGTATGCGTCCATCCGTTCTGGCGTGAGTGCCACCATTAGGCTCCCGGTCTGACGCAGCCCGGTATCATGTCCGGTCTCCTTCGGAAACTGAGAGAACAATTCAAGCGCGTATCGGATCGCCTGCAACATGGTAACCGAGGGACGAATTTGACCGACGAGCCCCGCAGCTTGAGGAGTCGTCTCCTCAGCAACTTCATTGTTGCGCTCCAGAACGAGAATATCCTTTTGTCCCGAACTTTGCCAAATGATAGGCGGTACTCAGTCCCCATATCCCACCGCCAACGATTAAAATTTCTGTTTGTTGTGCCATTTTCTTTCCTCAAATATGTCAGGAGATCGCTATGAAACTTTTCGACGCCATCACCCAACGCCGTAGTCATCGCGGAGAATTCCGCACGGACGCGATTTCTCAAGAACACCTTGACCAACTCATCCAAGCAGCGCAGTGGGCACCCTCCCCATTCAACACACAACCTTGGGAGTTTCTCATCATCCGCGAAGCTGCCGGCAAAAATACCCTCGCCGAGTTGACCGCACAGAGTGTTATCGAGCAGTTCAAAGACAGCACTTTTCTGGACGATAATAGCCGCTGGATGCGCCTGACAGAAGCGGAATGGGAAGAACGCGGCGATGGTGTGCTGCTGACCGATCACGTTGACCTCCCACCCATGTTCCGCAAAGATCCAAGTAAACTCAAGCCGCTACTGAAACATGCAAAACATCTCAGCATTCTGGGGCATCTGGGAGCAGGCAAGCTGCCCGCCAAAGAGATCTCCGAGCTTGTCCGCACCTCGCCGCTGCTCATCCTCATCCTGATGGATAGCACAAGACACCCGCCCGGCGAAGGCGGAGATCGGTGGATGTGGTTGGGTATGGGAGCCGCCATCCAAAATCTGCTCCTGACCGCAACGGCACTCAACATCGGCACACAGTTTGTCAGCGCACCACTGGAACGTCAGGCAGATCGAGAGCGAATCCAAGAAATCTTCAATATCCCAGATTCCCACGAGATCATCACCCTAGTACGGCTCGGCTATGTGAACTCAATGGCCGGTAAATCCGTCCGCTTGCCTTCTTCAACGGTTGTACGACACGAAAGTTACTAGTAGTAGGTATATTGCTCTGAATCCCGATCTTATCAGGGCTCCGTATGCCATAACCTCTATGTTACCTAACGCAAGTTCCACATGTCGCCCCGCTGGGGCTTTTGGGTGTAGGCATTTGCTCTGCTATAGACATATCGCCCCGCTGGGGCTCAGTTCGCTATAGCAGTGCGAATATGATCTTGACACTCCGACCTACCGTATTGAACCGCGCTCCAGTGTGGGGCAAATGCCCGACTACTATGGGGATGGCGTTCAATGTATGCAGATGTTCACATAACTCAATGAACTAATGAACTGCTGCCCCACTATAGCCGTCGAGCGATTGCCTCCAACAACTGATCCAACTCTCGGACCCTCATCAACTTGGCACCCCCACCAAAACGGCCACTCCCAACCGATTGGGACAAACACACCGATGAGCCGGGCGATAAGGCTTTCCACACCAAGCCAACCTTCAATCTGTGTATACCCCCACCAGCAGACGCCCCCCATAACAGCGGAAGCAAACGCGAGTTTAACCAGCAGGGACCAGATGCCGCTTAACCCCAATCCTCCAGCCTTCCCTCGCAAAAGAAACAGCAGCGCGAGAAAATTCAACGTAATCGTGCAGGAGGTGGACAGTGCAAGAGATCGGTGGTCAAAACCGAACCGATAGATAAAGAGTAGTTCAGCAGGATATTGAGTCCAACGGTGCACAGACTGACCACAGCCGGTGTGCGCGTGTCGTTGAAGGTGTAAAACCCATCCGTCGCGATCTTGACCGCCGAAAAACCGCATAGCCCAAAGGCATAATAGAATAGGGCACCCGCCGTCTGTTGTGTGTCCAGAGGGTTCGCCTGCCCGCCCTCAAAGATTAGACGACAGATCGGTTCAGCAAGTACCATCAACCCAATTGACGCAGGCACCGTCAGCAGAAACATCAGACGTAACGCATACGAAAAGGAGCGACGATACGCCTCCATGTCCCCCGCTGCAACCAACTTCGCCAGATTCGGCAAGGCAACCGTTGAGATCGCAACGCCAAAGACGCCGATCGGCAGGTGCATCAGCCGAAACGCACGGTTAATCCAAGTCAGCCAGCCCACCCCCTCGGACGCAAAAATCGAGTTGACCAGCACGTTCACCTGCAACGCAGCAACCCCAAGAATAGCGGGACCGATAAGCTTCATCACCTGTCGCACCCGTTCATCGCGAAAACTGAGAAGGGGCTGATAGCGGAATCCGACGCGCCGCATCGAAGGCACCTGAATTAGAAACTGTAATGCCCCCCCAACCAGTACGCCAACCGCCATCCCCGTTGTCCGGTGTAGACCAAGATCCGGCGCGACATAGTAACCGTACACCCCAACAATCAGCGATCCAACGTTGAAAAAGGAGGACGCAGAGGCGGGCAACCCAAACTTTCCCTTGCTGTTGAGAAGCCCCATCGTCACCGCAGCCAACGAAACCAGTATCAGGTACGGAAACATGATCTGCGTCAGATAGACGGTCAGATCGCGTTTGGAATCAAAGCCGAAATGTTCCGACGGATCGAGCGACACCTCCTGAAAACCCTTGCCGGCGAATATCAGATCAACGATAGCAGGGGCAGCGAAAATCCCAACGACCGTTATCAGCGTAAGTAGGAGGAAACTCGCGTTAAAAACCCGGCTCGCCAGACGCCAAGCAGCTTCCTCTCCGTCCTCCAACTCCGTCGCTGTAAAGGTTGTGACGAATGCCTTGCTCAACGCACCTTCGCCAAACAGATCTCGCATCAGGTTCGGAATCCGAAACGCCGCATAGAACGCATCGCCGCCAACACCGGCGGCAAAGTAGTAGGCAATCACCTTCTCACGCACCAGCCCAAGCAGGCGCGACGCCATCACGGCGATACTAACGATCCCCGCAGATCGGGTGATTCGCTGCTGATCTTCGGAGGTTGTGGCTGCGGCGGTATCGATCTCATTTTCCATTTATAGCGAATGCTTTTTTCGTCTATTCAGCAGTTTCGTTTTCGTCAGGGATATAATCGTTGACATCAAGCTCTTTAACTCGAGGCGAGAAAACCTTGTGAAAGGTTTCGAGTTTTTCACATAGCCACTGGCACTGTCTGTCCCGGTCCTGGCGATCTTCGAGATCGGTGTCCTCCAGAGAACGACTTATGTAGCTCCGCTTCTGCTCGGGTTTTTCTTCCCATTCTAATTCGGCACCGATCGCTGTTTCAATATCTATCCTGTCCTGTTTCAAGACGTTGAAGTGAGATTTTGCATCTGATCCTCTAAGCGTGAGGCTAACAGAGATCCATTTGTCTCTGACGCTAGCGGAAACATCAAGCCGGAATTTTGAACGACCAATACCAAACCCCATCCAGTTCCGCGGTAAAGGTTTCACAGGCTTGATTACCCCATCGCGTTGTTCTAGAAGGTCTCGTAGCCCTGTCCAATATTCGAGATATAATTGCTGCGTGGGAGTCAAGTCGTTCCGTGGATTCGGCGAAACGCCTTTCTTCCAGTCGTTGGGGTGCGAGACCACGTTAAACTTCGGTGCCATCGGTGAATCGCCAATCCGCCACAATTCAATCTCCAACCCGAAAAAACTGAGATCCTCCGCCGTAATCTCGTTGAGCCAGTCTAATGCCGCCCGGTGCTCATCCGTAAAACGTTCAGCAATCCAGACCACTGTTACAGCCTCTAACCCGGCGGCGTAGGTCAACAACTGTCCGAGATGAGTGTGATCTGTCCGCTCAAGCTGATTTTCAATCAGCACCCAACTGTCTGTTACTGTATCCTTGCACAGAATATCTGCCCTAAACTGACCAACATTTCTCTCCTGTGCCTCAACTTCCAGTTCAACCCCAATTGTATCGCCCAGCAGGCCTATATTTTCCTCCTCAGCCAACCAAGGGGTGAAATCACTCGCTTCACCTTCCCAAAACTCCCGGAGCGGCACTTTGATTAAACGTTCAAGTTTTGCCATTAGCACTATCTCCTCTAGTTAATTCCAATCCACCGGCGACTTCATCTGTCCCCAACAACGTGCGACGAATCCAATCAAACGCTTGGACAGCCAACCACCGACGAATATGGTCGGAATCCTGATAGTTGCGACTCCGTTCAAAGAGACACACTTCCCCCGGCCCATTCATGGCGATAAAGGTGGAAGAATCTTCAAAGGGACCAATCATTGCAAGTCCTATGCCGCCGGGCGGTGTCACCTGCTCTGCAAGAGAAACAGCGTGGGAACGTGCCTCCTCAACATCAGGAGAGTTGGAAGCGTCAGCACCCGAATCTTTCAACGCCTCCGTTAAGTTCGCCGGAGAGAGGTCGGTCGCAACTAAGTCGGAGTAACCGGACTCAATAAGATCCCGCGCGAGTTGACCGCCGGTGAGCGTGTCGACTACGCCCAACTTCATCGATTTCTCCTGCATCAAATCGCCAACAACCTCAGCCACCGTTACCTTCCCCACACCATAGACGGCGACGCCCAACCGCTCGCGGAGTTTTGCCTCCATCCCAGCGACGAGCGTATCCGCTTCCTCTTCCGTGTCCGCCTTTGCGGTGATTCGCACGTCCGTCTGACCAACGTGTGCTGCCAGTCCAACGGTAGGATTGCCCGCCGTCATCAGATCGCCGATGCCCCGATCAACGTTACTCTCTCCCCACCGCGCATGTGCGTAGCACATGGACCCTTGTCACCTTCACCCCACCCATGCGTTCAATCAGCAACGGGATGACGGTATTTTCCATCATGTGGTCAAGCTCCCTCGGAACGCCCGGCAGCGAAATGATGCACCCTCGTCCATTCACGTCCTCGCTCAAATAGCACGGTGCCGTACCCACAGGATTTGTCAGCGGCGTTGCCCCTTCGGGGATGTAGGCTTGACGCTTGTTGTTATCAGCCATCGGACGACCAAAACGGCTGAAACGTGCCGCAATTTCCGCCTCTAATTCCGTGCTGTAAACCAGTTTCCGTCCTGTTGCATCGGCAACGCTTGGCGTGTAACATCGTCCACCGTCGGACCGATGCCGCCGGAGGTGATGATGACATCCGACCGATCCAATGCTAAGTCGAGGACCTCGGTCATCCGGGTGAGGTTATCGCCAACGGTCGTTTTGTAGTATAGGTCTAGCCCAATGTCTCTGAGTGCGAGTGCCAATCTGTTGGCGTTTGTATCGACAATCTCTCCGAGCAGGAGCTCAGTTCCAATCATGACAATTTCTGCGTGCATAAAGTGCCTTTCCTAATGAATCTATCAACCAATGAAATGAACGATGAACTAATCAACTAATGAACCTATGGATTCTTTGCCCGTAACACAACATTGGTCGCCTCAAACTCCCAAACCTCGTTATAAACGGTTGGGCGTGACCGAGCGGGTGGGTAGTTGGGCGGCGGATTGTTCGGATCCCGCAACTCCAGACGATCGCGACCGCGAGGTTTGTCCAACCATTCCCGCTCTGCCTCCGATGCCTCAACCTCCCGTTGCAAGATGAACTCCACCCAATCAAATGCGGAGATAGCGACCTGTGCCAGAAACACCCGTTTCAGCGTCCCGCCCGTCCCAAGTGGCGAGATCCGGCAGAATGATGGGACCTGTACAGACTTGGAACTCCTTATCCACCACATTGAGGTTCATGACATCCACGGGATATTCGACCGAAACTGTGAGATTGCGCTCCCTGTCGTGGTAAGTCGACTTTGCATTCAGCAGATCGCCGTTCAGGGTTGCATCAATAACCTCACCGACATCCATTAACTCAGAGAAGTTAGAATGCGAACGCACATCAACCTTATAATCCTGATAAATCTCACTCAGCTTTTTTGTCGAGGCGTCTTCCGGTTCGTCACTCGGCCTTCTCGCAATGCTCAACTGGGATTCATCGCTGAAAGCCATGCGCCACTCACCACTGGGAACTTGGAACATGTTTCGGGACGCAATCGTGTACTCGCTACGACACGGCGCCCCGACAAACATTTTTGTAACATGCCCACTCGCTTCGTCCCGTACTTCGCAGCTGGCTTCGAGACCGAATCGGACATGATACACCTGCCCCTGCTCTCCCACAAAACCGCCGGCATACCGATAGTACGGATCCGGTGTCCACGGATGGTTGTGCCAAGTAAACGTCGAGCGTGAAAAATCGATCATAGTGTATCTCCTTTCAAACGTGAGGAGCGCGATGTATAGGGTTCAGAAGTTCAATGAACCAATGAACCAACAAAAAGCCCCCACGGAGCGAAAAATGTATAGCAAGTCAATTACCGATCCTTCAGGTAGACATAGGGTCTTCCTCGCCACCGCATCCGACGCCCACGACCAATTACTGTCAGTTCATACCAATCATCGCGAGCCAACTCAATGTCAGCAGCTTTCGCGCCCTCTTCAATGTGGTCGGGGTTGCCCGTGCCCACAAGTGGGATAACTCCGCCGGGGAGTGCCATCAGCCACGCCAGTGAGATCTGCCCCGGCGTTACGCCATATCGATCAGCGACTATCTTCACCTGCGCTACCACACCCTGCTCCCGCTGCTCCTGCCAATCGCCATATCCCTGATCGAAGGCGTGCGGCAGCGGTTTATTTCCGGTGAGAAGCCCGCCTGCAAGCGGACTGTAGCAGAGAACGTTCATCTTCTTTTCTAAACAGACAGCGGCTAAACCAACCTCCAACGGTTCTTGGCTTAGCAGATGAAATAGGGTCTGTAATGCCTCCACACGGGTATAGGCGGAGATAGCGCGGATCTCATCTGGCGAATAGTTGCTCACACCGACATGCCGAATCTTCCCTTCCGCCTTCAGGTCTTCCAGGGCGCGGGCAGTTTCCTCCGGATGCGCGAGGTAGTCAATGCGGTGCGGCTGATAGAGGTCTATATACTCCATACCCAGACGTTTCAACGATCCCTCACAGCACTCCTTGATATAGGCAGCGGACAGATTCCACGTATATATATTCTCATATTGTAAGGCGGCGCATTTGGAGGCGATAATCACCTTTTCACGAGGGATATTCCCTTCACGATAGCTTCTCCGAGTATCTTTTCAGAGTCACCATCGCCGTAGATGTCCGCGGTATCGTATAGGGTGATCCCAAGTTCATAAGCGCGATGGACGGTTGCGATGCTGCGTTCCTTTGCGCTGGGGGTCAGGCTCATACACCCCAAGGATACAAGAGAAACCTCCTGTCCGGTTGTACCAAGTTCAACATATTTCATTCATTTTCTCCTCATTGTTTGGAAGTATCCGGTTGATTTACAGAGTCGGGTGCGGACTAAACATGACTGGAAATTCTCACTCAGCTGCATAGGCACAGGCAGCGAGCGGATCATAGGACAATCCGTTGAATCTAGTGCCTTTGGGATTTTCGAGCTTCTGGAAGTATTCCGGATAGAATTATAACTTTCATGAGGTAGAATTTCAAGAGTTAGTTTTGAGGGGAAAACTGGGGGAGTTCGCTAGAAAAATCGAGCAAACACAGGCGGGGAAACTCTGCGCCTACGATTTATTCTCGCGCTTTGCACTTTTTTTTTACATGAGCCGCCAAATTTATATAGCGGTTTGAAACCTTTAAAGACAATTGACAGAACAAGTGGCATTGGTTATAATCAAGCTGAGGAGGACAATTCATGTTAAAAGCAGGAATCATCGGTTGTGGCGGTATCACTGAGCGGCGGCATGGACCCATGCTGGCAAGTTTGAGCGATCGCGTAACAGTTGCAGCATTGGCAGATCTTGCCCAAGAACGTCTTGAATTAATGGGCGGAAAACTCGGAGTTGCATCTGAAAACCTTTATACCGATTGGGAGCAGATGCTTGCCAACGAAAAATTGGATTTGGTCCATATCTGCACCCCTCACCATCTGCATGAACCCCAAGCTATCGCCGCGATGGAGAGTGGTGCCCATGTGTTCCTCGAAAAACCTATCGCCACCCGTTTGGAAGAGGTCGATAGGATGATTGCTGTGTCAGAGCGTACCGGTCGCAAGATGACGGTCGGGCATAATCAGCTCTTTTCAGCAGCACATCGGGCGGCGATGGAACAGATAGGGGCGGGCGCGATCGGTTCCGTGTTTCTGGTGCGCACCGAGGGGCTCAGTAGATCCCATGTGGTGGGCAGAGGCGTCTCTCAGCAGTGGCGCACCCAAGCCAGAGCCGGGGGCGGAGGTCCCCTAATCGACAACGGCTATCACCAAGTCTACACCGCACTTAACTACGTCGGTTCGCCGGCAGTCCGTGTCTACGCACGGATCGGTCGCTACGTGCAAGATATTGAGGTGGAAGACACGGCACTCGTTCTGATTGAACACGCCAACGGCGCGACAACCTCACTACAGGTCGGCTGGTCAGCTTTGGCAGGTGGAACAAGTGTGAATGAGATTATAGGCACCGAGGGGCAGATCCGCTTTGGCGGGGGTGAGGCACCGGTGGCGGTGTGGCGCAAGGAAACCGGGGAGTGGACACATCCGCCGGTGGACGCAGAGGGGCCCGACGAACTCGGCTTACCGGTGGCGGTACGACGCTTCGTGGAAGCGATAGAGAACGATGGGGAGTTCCAGTCTCTGCCGCCGAAGGGCGTCATGTCTTAGCTGTCATCTTGGGGGCGTATCAGTCCGGTCAGAGTGGAGAAGTTGTGGAGGTGGACAAACCATGAGTGAAAAACCGTTTGAACTAGACTATATCCTCGCTTCGTGTATGTACGGCACGTTGCCATTGGCTGAAATAGTCCCCGAAGTGAAGAAGATTGGGAGTGAACGTATTGACATTTGGCCCCGCGTCCACGGCAACCAAAGAGAGCAAGTTGAGTCTATGGGGAATGCGGCTTTTGCAGCACTACTCGCAACTCATGGAGTGGGGTTAGGGATATCGACCCGTTTCGATCTGGGTCCCTTCGGCTTGGAGGAAGAGATGGCGTTTGCCCAAGAATTTGGAGCTTCCCTCATCGTGACCGGCAGCACAGGTCCCAAGGATTTAGCGGGCGAGGAGTTACGTGCATCGGTCGCCGACTTTGCGGAAGGGCTGAAGCCGCACATCGCTGCCGCCGAGAAGCACGGCATCACCATCAGCATCGAAAACCACGGCAGCGCGCTAATCGAATCGCCGGACTCGATGAGGTGGTTAATCGAGTTCACTGATTCTCCGTATCTCGGCATCGCTTTGGCACCCTACCACCTCCCCGACGATGCCCAACTGGTGGCACAACTGATTGAAGATCTGGGACAGGGGTTAGCCCTATTCTATGCGTGGCAACACGGCATGGGCTGCCACGAAAAATTGCCCAAAGAACAAGAATTGATGCAGATGCCGGGACGGGGAAGCTTAGATTTTGCACCGATTCTATCTGCCTTGAAAAAAATTAACTACACCGGCTGGACAGAAATCTTCATGCATCCCGTTCCGCGAGGGATCCCAATTCTGGACACGGCAGCGGATGTAACCGATGAGATTAACCGCGCTCGACACCACCTAGACCAACTCGCACAAAGCGTGTAACATAACCTATGTCGCTAGTGAAACATGACGCACACCAACGCCGGGCGTGAAACGTGATGTCCCGTTCCGAGGATCCCGATCTATCGGGACGTGAAACGTGAAAATAATTGGTGCATCGGTTCACCCTCACATAAATGAACCAATGAACTAATGAACCAACCAACCGAGGTCGCTATGAAAACCAAAATTCTGGGACGCACAGGACTTGAGGTCACCATCATTGGACTTGGAACGATATACATCGGCAGCCGGCCGTCGGGGCCACCGAACGATTTAGATGAAGAAATCGGTGCCCAGACGGTAGAGGCCGCTATTGAGGCGGGTTGCACACTAATCGACACCGCACCGCTCTATGGAGGTACGGTCGCTGAGAAGATTATTGGCAACACTCTCAGGAACCGTCCAGACCTTGCCGCCAAATGTACCGTCGTCACCAAAGCTGGCAACTACGTGGAGGGGAAAAACCACTCCTTTGACAACATCTTACGCAGCGTCGAGGCTAGCCTTGAACGGCTTGGTCTTGAACAGCTTGATCTGGTCTATATCCACGATACGATGGGTGTGCCGATGGAACAGATCATGAGCAAAGATGGCGCATTGGGAGCGTTACGCAGACTTCAGAACGAAGGGGTGGTCCGCTTTATCGGATCGGCTTCCAACGATCCGCCGACCAACACCCCCTATATCGAGACCGGGGAATTTGACGCGGCGGTTGTCCCCGATGCGTGGACCCTACTGACCCAAGAAGCGGCTGAACGCATCCTACCTGCTGCCGAAAAATATAACATCGGATCTCGTGTGCCACGCCGCTTGAGATCGGACTTTTGGCAACAGGACCTATACCGGGGAGAGATTACGGCAGACGAAACTTCAGCCAAGAATGCCTAGATCATGTCGCCAAGATCCAACGGCTTTGCCAAGATTACCAGATTTCTCTCCTCGCTGCAGCGTTGCAGTGGTGCACCCGCCATCCGCAGGTGACAACAGCGATTCCGGGGGCGCGAACGCCCGAAGAAGCGGTAGCAAATGCGAAAGCCGCTGAGATGGAGATTCCAGAAGCCTTCTGGAGCGATCTTGCCCCGCTAGTCCGATTTTGGGAGAAAGGCGTTCATCGGTAGAATATGTAGGGAATTTGAAAAAAGATAGGACTTACGGAATCGGAGACTCCCGCTTCTGCGTAGGGAACAACGATCGTTGTTCCCTACTCCTTCGTGGTTTATTTTTGCAGCTTCGCCACGTGCGTATCCAACTCCGTTAGATTGAATCGCACACTGATGACGGAGTGCTCCTCGCCCGGCTTGTGAATGAGGTAGGTCGTGGCGACGAAAGTGCCGTCCGGCAGCACTTCCAAGCCGGCATAGCCGCAGTCTCCGTATTCGTCGGGCGGGAAGTTGCCCTGATGCCGCAGTAGCAGCACACGGTATTCCCCCTCTCGCCCGTTGACGAGGTCATCGTAAGTGCCGACCCATGCGACAAAATTGAATTTCGTCGGGCTGGCGAGTGCGGTGTCTCGAAACACAATCACCAACCGACCATCAGGGGCGTAAGCGAGGTTGTGCCGATCGCCGGTGACACCGGCAGCTGCTTCACGGCATTCCGACCACGTCTGACCTTCGTCGTCGCTGGTGATGACCATCGCGTTGTACGCCCGCGACTGTTCGCGCATCACCGCTGCAATCTGTTTTCCGTCCGGCGAGCGGATAACACCGGTTCGTCCGGCAGTGCGTCTTCGTGCTGGGCGATTAACCGCTGTTTCTCCCACGTCAACCCACCGTCAACGGTGACGCTCTGCATGATGACGTGATCGCCGTGGCTTCTGGTCCCATGATCGACATAGATCGCAATATATCGCCCGTCCGAGATCGGTATGACTCGGTTCGGAACGACGATGCAATGTAAGCCGTTCGGCTCAAACGGCGTCCACGTCTCACCGTCATCGACCGAAATCGACTGGCGCATATCGCCGTTGCCCTCTAAAACAATCAGGCGCTCTACCCCGTCTGGACCGGTAAGACGATGAATACATGGGCAGTTTTTTGCGGTCTTCCAATTATCGGGTACAGGCAAGCGATCGCTCCAAGTTAGACCACCGTCCGCGCTCTTTTTCAGCAGGGCGGACGGACCTCCATGTCCAAGCGGATAGGTGCAGAACATCGTTCTGTTGTCCGGCATCAGTACCGTGTCCGGATGACCGAGATATTGTCCCGCCTGCTTGTCCACAACAACCTGCCGATGCTCCTCGTGGGCTACATCAATTGTGGGAACGGAGATGGAGATCGGTTGCGTCCGATTCCAGTCTAGCGGAATGGTCTGCCCCCGAACGGAAAAATCGTGTATACGTGAACGTCCCTTCATAGGAACAGAATCCAAATGTTGTAAGCTCGCCGCCAAACAGGAAATGCTTCACCGCCGTCCCATCAACGATAATCACAACTCGCGTTCCCTTACGAACAATCTCAAAGTTAAACGGCACACCCAGCGTAACCCAATCAGAAGAGAAAGCCATCTGCTGATGACCGAGCACCTCACGGGGCCAGAAAACGTAGCTTAAACGCCGAAAACCGCTGATGCCAGTTTTGTTGGTGCCGACCACAAAATTCGGTTTGTCGTCTTTGCTGGGGAGAGTAAGTTTGGCTCTGAGATGAAAATCGTTGCGACCGATCCCGCAGCCCGCGTATAGCAGGGAATTTTTTTCATAAATCTCGATGTACCCCGTTTCAAACTCCCAGCCGTACCCAATCTCCCCGGATGTTCTTGGGAACCCCATTCTCAACGAAAACAGTTCGGGAGTCCGCACGGTTCGCCTCGTCGCCGGTCGCCCCAAAAGCCAATCCAACGAGGGAGGCACCAGTCATATACATACTGCTTTTCTCCTGTCATACCCCAAAAATAGTAATGTAGACTATTATCCGCAGTGTATCAGACCATCGGCGATATGTCAAGTATGCCCTATGTATTTTCTATCCTTGACGGCTAACTAGCAACATGCCCAACGCTTTAGCTTTGGGGCCAACCCCGATTATCTCGTGCATTCAGTAAAAAAGGCTTGTTTTTTTTACTATACACTATGGTATAATAACGTTGTTACCCGGCAGGAGAATACAATCACTAACGCACGTTGGTGTCTTCCACATTCCAGTTGCATGGAAAACAACGGGGAATCGGGCGAATATAAGCCCATAAAAAAATTAAGCAGAATACCTAAACGCTATTATTTAGTGTTCCGATTCCGTTCCGAGAACTCCGATTTATCGGGACTCGCCGAAGCAGGGAGGCAGCATAGGTACTGCTTTTTGCAGTACACTGGCAAGTCTGGGAATCCCAATGCTTTTAGCGTTGGGAGCATGTCAAAATTGCGAAATAACATAATACAATGGTCAATAACCCCGCCCTGAAGGGCGAGGCTTGCAATCCCGTGCCAACGGGCACTTGCAAGTTAAACCGTTGACTAGACGATTATATCGCGGGTCTAAGGCGTGGCAGCCTAACTGATGTTTCAGGTGCTCCCCAAGCCTGAATCCGCTCTGATTCCGTGATGTCGATGGGGCAACATACACACCCACAGGGGTGATTTACAATGTTTGTTCCTGTAGTTGACAAAAATCGTAACCCATTAATGCCGACCACGCCAGCAAGGGCAAGGAAGTGGATGAAGTCGGGTAAAGCCACGCCGTTTTTTCGGAATGGCGTATTCTGCGTGCGGTTGAATGTCGAACCCTCCGGAACCCAAACACAAGATATAGCTGTTGGGATTGACCCCGGTAGCAAGAAAGAAGGGTTCACTGTCAAGTCAGAAAAATTGACATATTTGAATGCACAAGCCGACGCTCATAATAAGGTTAGCAAAAAAGTTGAAACACGTCGTCAATTGAGGCGTGGTAGACGTTCACGGAAATGTCCGAATCGGAAGAACCGGACGAACCGCATGGCGAATAAACAACGGATACCCGCCGGCACACGGACGCGGTGGGATTGGAAACTCCGAATCCTCAACTGGCTGTCCACGATGTTTCCGATAACGCATGTCTGTGTTGAGGATATCAAGGCACGGACGCGGAAGGGTGCCCGTAACTGGAACGAGTCTTTTAGTCCCCTTGAGGTGGGAAAGCAATGGTTCTACGCCGAAATCCAGAAGCGTTGGATATTGTTCACACTCAAAGGTTTTGAAACAAAAGCAATTCGTGATTCGCTCGGACTCAAGAAGTCTGGCAACAAGATGTCGAGCGACTTCAACGCCCATTGCGTAGACTCATGGTGCTCGGCGTACCATGTAAATCGGAAGCGATACAGACCAAGTGGACAATACTTGTGTGTTTTATGTCAGTCCGATACCCATTGCACGGCGGCAATTGCACAGACAGAATCCACAGACGGGTGGCAGACGTCCACGCTACGGCGGTACAATGTGCAATGGCATAGTCAAAAACACGTTGGTAAAGCATGTAACACACGGTTTGACTCGTGTTAGCGGATATATGGAGAAAAAAGGTTATTCTCTATACTCGTTGGAGGGCAAACGCCTCACTCAGTCTGCGAAACGTGAGAAGTTCAAAGTCCTCACACGATTAAACTTTAACTATATCTAAAAAAGGAGCGCTGTTTCCTCCCCGCCTTAAAAGCTGCTTAGTCCCGATTTATCGGGGACGGGGTTGCCACAGCGAAGATTTCGATGAATCGGGACGTGAAACGTGAAAACAATTGGAGCATTGGCTCACTCGGACATAAATGAACTAATGGACACTTTTGTTTTAGAGGTCAATCATGGAATATAAAGCGTTTGGGCAGACAGGGATGCAGGTTTCAGCAATTGGGTTCGGTTGCTGGGAAATGGGTGGCGGTTACGGTTCCATCGAGGAAACGGAAGTCATTGAGGCGATCCATCGCGCCTTAGACCTCGGCATTAATTGCTTTGATACCGCCGAAGCCTACGGCATGGGGAGGTCCGAAGAACTGTTGGCACGGGCGTTGGGAAACCGACGCAAAGACGTTATCGTTGTCTCAAAGTTCGGCATTAACTACGACAACGAACGCCTGAAAAAACGGGATAGCCGTCGCTCAATGGCACACGCTGCAATCGACCGTCGTTTGAAAGCACTTGAACACCGATTATGTCGATGTCTATCTGGTGCATTGGCCCGACCGTACCACCCCGTTTGATGAAACGATGGAGGCGTTGGAGGAGATTGTGCAGCAGGGGAAGGCGAGATTTGTCGGTCTCTCCAATTTTACCGCAGACGAAATCCAGACGTGCATGGAAACACGGCGTGTCGATGTTATACAATATGCCTGCAACCTGTTTGATCGACGCATGGCAAAATGGATCTTCCCCTACGCCCAAGAAAACGGCATCGGCGTCATGACATACGGCTCGCTCGCCTACGGGATGTTGGCGGGCGCGTTTACGGAAGAAACGACATTCGAGGAAGATGATTGGCGACGCAGAGGGGGAAGCAACATGTCGTTAAAGTTGTTTCAACCGGGGATTTTCCAGCGTAACGTTCAAGCGGTGAACCAACTCAAAGAGATTGCGGAAGGGCTCGGGAAAAATCTGCCACAGCTCGCACTCAATTGGGTGATTTCCAACCCAGCGGTCAGCGTTTCGCTCGTTGGGGCAAGACGGTCTTCTGAAGTAGAGGACAACATGGGCGCCGTCGGTTGGAAACTAACGGACGACGTGAAGGCGGAAATCGATCGCGTCTTCGCTGAGTACGAAATCGACACAGCACCCAACAAATGGACGGAACAGATCAATCAATAATCTAAAACGAAAACAATTTGAAACGAAGGAGAAAACAGTCGGACTGATGCAACCTGCAACCAAATACCGAACAATTTTAATCTTTGGTGCCCCCTGGCACAGGAAAAGGAACTCAAGGCAAAATTCTTAACCAGATTCCCGGGCTTGTACATGTCGCTTGTGGAGAAGTACTTCGCTCCCTAGACTGCAATAGCAAATTCGGCAAAGTTTTCCTAGAATACTCCAGCGAGGGGCAGTTTGTCCCGGACTATATAGCGATTCAAATATGGTGTGATTATATCAATAATTTGGTGCAGAGCGAGCAGTTCGAGCCAGAGAGGGACTATTTAGTTCTAGATGGTATCCCGCGCAACCTGCCACAGGCGCAGGCGATGGATGATTATATTGATGTGCGTCAAATCATCTATCTAAGATGTCACGACCCAGAGGTGCTTGTGAAACGTATCAAAGGTCGGGCACTGCGTGAACATCGGTTCGATGATGACGACGAACATGTCATCAGGCGACGGCTGGAGGAGTATGCGGCACAAACCGCACCGACGCTATCCTACTACCCACCAGACCGGATCCAAGAGATCGATGCGACCGACACACCTATAGGGGTTCTCTTCGAAATTACAAACGCCTTCCGAAGGACACTCAGCTGATATGGGTTTCGCTTGTGCCTTATCATTTACACCCAGATTGACATCTTGTTACCCATTGTAGAGTGCTGGAGGTGAGAGAGCATGGGTATCAAACTATTCGATGGGGTTGCCCTCATAGGCGATTTGCCTGAATATAATCTCAGACGTGGGCAAGTCGACACAGTGGTTGAAATTCTTGCAGACGGTAAAGCGTTTGAAGTGGAATTCAGTGACCGTGACGGACGCACTTATGAATCAGCAGGTTTGCGCCCTGATCAGATCGTGCTGCTCCACTATGAACCGATCAAAGCCCAACCAATTTCTACTGTGGATCAAGCTGCTGATGCCTAATCTGCCGAAGGGAAGAATCTCGCTGCATGGCAAATCTGTGCCCATGCTGAGTATCGCAGCGCGTTCTACCCAATCCGTTAAATTGCAGCAAGTGCCGCCGACAGTGCCTTGATGTAGCCGACGGAATACGCCAAAGCACCCCCCGCATCAGAACCATCCCCTTCTATCGGGAAAATGTGGTCTGGATTCAAACACCCATCAAAACCCACCTCTCTGAGCGCGAGCACGATCTTGAACATATTCATGTCGCCGTCGTCCAAGAGCGTCTCCTCGTAGCCCCCTGCGGTGGCTAGACTGCCTCGCACATTCCGGAAATGAACCATGAAGATACGACCCTTGCGTCCGTAGTTGTGAATTTCATCCAGCACTAACGGTAGCCCGCCGGCTTCAGCCCGTGTCCCACAGCAGTACAGATAACCCACATTAGGACTGGGAAACGCATCAATTACTCGATGAAATCCCAATGTACCCAGCGGCGTGTCTGGCAGAGGGATATCCGACGGATGGATTGCCAGTTTGATATCGTATGCCTCGGCGATGGGCACAAGCCGCTCGTAGACTCGGCAGAAATGCCGCCACCAATCGTCCAGTTCCTCCCGGGTGGGAGGCTCGCTAGCTGCAAACAGGGACCAATGGCTGAACCTGTGCGCCTTCAACTCCGCCTCACTGCGAGGCTTGGGTTGGTCACCGGTCAACCAACGGCTTCCCCCACTGCCGCGAAACCCGGCTCGATGTTCTGACCGATAGAAGGTTATCAGGTGATTGAAGGTGTCCCCTTCAAAGCGTTGTCGGGCAATGGGCATACCAGCTTCTCCGAATACCCGCATCGCCTGCTCGGTGTTTTCCAACTCCACCTCGCTCCCTTCCTCATCCCCCATAAACTTCTCGGTGATATCGGGCAAGGTCACGCGATTGATTCGCAGACCCCATGAGTAGATTTTCTTTTTGATCTTGAGTAATTCGTCCAGGTCCGGGTATCCCTGTTCCTTGACGCCGGGGAAAAAGTCACCGGAACCAAAGTCAACGCAGTCAACTCCCAACTGCGTGATCTGTTTCAAGTACCTATCTGAAAGATCACCGCACCCTACAGTTATCCTGAACATGGTGTTCTCCTTTACACCAGACTTTATACCTTTCAACTGGAATTGTCAAGAACAATATTTACATGCGATTGCCCTGTGCACGACGAGTTTTTCAGTTGACATATATATTGCTGTAAGGTACATTATACCGAGGGTGCTAGTTTAATTTTTTAGTGGTCATGAGACAGTTTCCTTTGTGTGTATTGGTAATAGAATAACAGAAAAATTTATAAGGAATGAACTATGTTACGTGAAAAACAAGCGACTCCGCACAGCGCGCCAATGACAGATTCCGTTGAGTTAGATCTTGCACTTGAAGATGCAGGCGGGTTGAGTCCGTTCGGAGTCCAAAAGCAGGCAACTGTTCGACTCAGCCAGAGTGCTGAAACAATACAGGCCCTCGCGGCACTGGGTATCTTGGGTGCTCAGTGGCGATCTACCGCGCAATCCGCTCTGGTGATGGCACTCACAGCATTAAGCTCTTCTAGCACTCAAGCGGATAACCCAGCTCAATCGTTTGTTGCTGCTGTGGAAATGTTAGTTGGCTTCACAGAGGACAAGTTTCTCGCTTCGTTAACAGATGACGATTGTCAGAGACTTGTTGCGGCACGAGACAAGTTAACCGATCTTGTTGGTGAGGCCGAAAATCATCTCTTCACCCCATTAAAGGACTTTATTGGGAGCCTCATTGAGAAGTATGAGGATACATCTGATATAGCAAGATTAGCGGAATCTCCGGATCGGCGGGATGCCTTATTAGACTTAGGACCACGGGGTCTTGCGGCAGCGTACGGCGATGACGAACCTGATTATACAGATGTCGCGTTCATTGAGGTAAATCCTAACTATAAAGGAATTCGCGCAGAATCGGGCGATGGGGAGCATTCATCTGGACGCGGACTTGCGGCGGCGTACGGCGATGACGAACCTGATTATACAGATGTCGCGTTCATTGAGATAAATCCTAACTATGGCAAGAGGTAGAAGGCCCGAGGAAGATGAATATACCCCCAGGAACGGTGACTTAGTTATCCTCCCAGTCGAAGGCAAGTCAAGACCAGCGATTTGCCTACGAAAGATGCCATCGAACTATAACGAATTCCTGGTTTGCGGTATAAGCTTCCAAACACACCTGTACATTGATGGCTTTGACGAAATAGTAACACCGAGCGATGACAATTTAGGAGCGTTAAGAAGCGATCCATCCGTAATACGACTTGGGTTTCTAGATCGGGTACGGATATGGGAGGTAAGGGGTTCGATCGGATCTATATCTCCTGAACGCCATAGACGTTTGCTGAAAAGATTGAGTAAGTATCTAGCCGAATAGAATAGAACTGTGCTATCAACAAAGGGGCAGGGCACACCTATTCCCTCCAAACACAATGCCAGATGTTCGGTGCAACCTGCAAGCCTGTATTAACCCAAAGAAAAACTGTGAATACAAAAACCCTTATCGAAATTATAGAGGCTCTCAGCGATCCCGATCAAGTAGCAGCAGTTGACGAAACTTTCCGGGAGGATTTGCGGAATACCGAGTTACCTCTCGTAGACAGAGCGATAATTGATGCCTATCTGTTGCAACAGGATGGGAAAATTGCGGAAGCTGTCGAAAAATGGCGTTCGCTCGCAAATATCTCGGAGGGAATTGATGACGAACTCGCCGCCCACGCTTGGTTATCCATCGGTATTCTCCTTTCAAAAGATGCTCAAGAAGAAGCACTTCCCCCTTATGACAAGGCATTGAGCCTCAAGCCAGATCACACCGTTGTCTACAACAATCGAGGGGCTACCAAATCCCTGCTCGGGCAATTTGATGCTGCGATTGCCGACTACGACAAGGCAATACAGCGCAAGCCGGATTATGCAGATGCTTATTACAATCGGGGATGGGCAAGAAGTGAGCTTCACCAATATGAAGCCGCTATCGCTGACTATGACGAGACAATACGGTTGAACCCCAATCGTGCGGATGCATACTACAACCGCGGCGTTGCTAAAAGTGAACTCCACCAATACGAAGCCGCCATCGCTGACTATGACGAGGCGGTACGTCTCAATCCGGAGTATACGGACGCATACTACAACCGCGGTGGTGCAAAGAACGAAATTTACCACCATGAAGCTGCCATTGTCGACTATGACGAAGCAATACAACTCAAACCCGACTTCGCTGAAGCCTATACCAACCGAGGGATTGCGAAGCACAAATTGGGTAGGTATGCGGCTGCGATTGCCGACTATGATAAATCAATACAACTAAAGCCTGATGAGGCACTCGCCTATGCCAATCGGGGCTTTGTAAAAAGCCAGATTTCCCAACTGGAGGCTGCGATTGATGACTGCAACGAAGCACTCCGACTAGATCCTGATTTAGTTGTAGCCTACAACAATCGAGGCATTGCGAAGAACCGGTTGGGTCAACATGAGGCTGCGATTGCTGACTATGATGAAGCAATAAGATTAGATCCAGATTATCACTTTGCCTATGCGAATCGGGGACGTGTAAAAGAAGAACTTAGTCAACACGAGGCGGCTATTGATGATTATAATGAAGCCATCCGGCTAAAACCAGATTACGCTAACGCCTACACCCATCGGGGCATTGCGAAGGGGAAACTCGGACAACGTGAAGAGGCAATAGCAGACTATGAGGAGGCAATTACTCGTTTTAACGAGGTAATTCGTCTTAACCCGGGCTCTGCAACAGCCTACAACAGCCGAGGATATGTAAAAGACGAACTGTTGGACGACATGAGGCTGCGATTGTTGACTATGATGAGGCAATACGATTAAACCCTGATTATGCAACAGCCTATCACAACCGAGGATATGCAAAAGGCGAACTTGGACAATACGAGGCTGCGATTGAGGATTATGATGAGGCAATTCGACTAGAGCCGGATGCTGTTACCTACAGGACCCGTGGACTTGCAAAAGACGCACTTGGACAATATGAGGCTGCGATTGAGGATTATAATGAGGCAATACGATTAAACCCTGATTATGCAACAGTCTACAACAGCCGAGGATTTACAAAAAACGCACTTGGACAATACGAGGCTGCGATTGATGATTGTGATGAGGCAATACGATTAAACCCTGATTATGCAACAGCCTACAACAACCGAGGACTTGCAAAAAACGCACTTGGACAATACGAGGCTGCGATTGATGATTGTGATGAGGCAATACGATTAAACCCAGAGAATGCCTACGCCTACAAAAACCGGGGGCTTGTAAAGCATTTCCTCGGTCAACATGGGGAGGCGATTGCTGATTATAAAGAGGCAATCCGTATTCAACCAAATTTAGCAGAAAACCTATATAGCCGCGGGAAGGACAAAGCCAGTTTCGGCCATATCCAAAGTGCAAGATTAGATTTTGAGCCTGCCTTGGAACTCGCAAAGCAAACTGGTAATGAAAGCCTCAAAACCAAGATTGAGCAAGCACTGCAAGAACTTGATAACGCTAATTAAACGGCAAAACGGATCTTTGAATTTGGAAACTGGATAGATATGACTGGATGCAGGACGGACACAGAATCCAACTATTTTCAGCGTCCCGACCGCAACTTTTCGGTTTCCGCCTCGTCTATAGCCCAAGCCTCCGGATCAATCGCCACGCGATAAACCTCCCGTGCTCGCTCAAGGCTCACCTTGCCCTCGTGCACATCGCGTAACACCAACTGCGGGTCGCGCTCCACAGCGGGACCGTAACCGCCGCCACCGCAGGATTGAACGCATATGACATCCCCCGGCTTCAGTTGGACGGTGACTTTGGAGCCAAGCTTGGTCGCCTCATTGTCAGGGTTCAGTGTGTAATGTGCAATCTCCCCATCATCTCCGCCGAAAAGCCCCCAAGGTCCCCACCGATCTCGATCCGCCAAGATAGTGAACGAAACCTCATGGTCAAAGAGGTAGTCCCGCCGCAGCCCAAGCCCGCCGCGATATTTACCCGCGCCGTCCGAATCATCCACTAACTCGTAGCGAGCAATATGCACCGGATAGTTAATCTCTGTTTCCTCAATTGGGGCGTTCTCGGTGTTCTGTCCGTGACACTGCACGGCATCGGGTCCGTCGCTAGCAACCCGCCCACCGTATCCGCCAGCCATCGTCTCGTAATAGGCGTAGAGTTCGTCCGTGCGCGGCGAAGTGCCCCCGAATCCCATCTGACACATCATCGCTTTCGTCCCCGCCGGAATGCGATCGGGGATGGCGGGCGAAAGTGCCTTGAGCAGAACATCGGTCAACCGGACCTGTGTCTCCCAACCACCGACGACCGGTGCCGGCGGTGTGCAGTTGACCACCGTCCCTAACGGAGCATCTATCTGAACCAAGCGGTAGAAACCCGCGTTGACCGGGATATCCGGGTCAATTAGGCTTTTCAGGACATAGGCACAGGCGGAAAAGGTCTGGGCATACGTGGAGTTGACGGGCGCTCGCCGCTGAGGTTCGGAACCGTTCAGATCGAAAAGGACACCTCGTCATCCATGACCATCTTCCCGACAAGGCGCACCGGTTCATCGGTGTAACCGTCGTTGTCGACGTAACCGTCGGCGGAGAAGACGCCTTGGGGCAGCTTGGCAATTTCCGCGCGTGTCCGACGCTCGGTGTAAGCAAGCAGTTGATCGATATAGAAGCTAATCGTTTCAGCCCCCAATCCGATCCAGCAGCGCAGTCAACCGACGCACCCCAGTGTTGTTGGAAGCCACCTGCGCTCGAAAGTCCCCCGCGGTCTCGTGCTTGGACCGAATCTGTGCGAGCACAAGGCGAAAAACGTCCGGGACAATCTCCCCGTCCTCTACCATTTTCACGGCAGAGATGATGACCCCTTCCTGAAAAACCTCGCGGAACGCACCGATGCTGGCGGGTGCGCCGCCGCCCACATCCACATGGTGAGCGAGATTGGCGACGTAGCCGAAAAGCAGTCGTTGTAATATACGGGTGAGATAAGGGTGATGTCGTTGAGGTGAACTCCGCCGAGATAGGGATCGTTGGAGAGAATCGCATCGCCCGGACCCAATTTTCCGGTCCATATTCCCGGATAACCCGCGGCACGGATTGAGACAGCGAGCCGAGATGCACCGGCTGGGTGAACGACTGCGCGACAGGCTGCAACTCGCTGTCAAAGAAGGCGCATGAAAAATCGGCGCGGGTTTTGATGTTGGTCGAGTAGGCACTGCGGCGGAGCGCGATTGTCATCTCCTCCGTCGCCTCGATTAGCGCGTTACGGATAACTTCAAACTTGATTGGATCAAATGTTGGTTTCATAAGTTTATCTCAATTACTCCAACCGGCGAAACGCCAACCGCTCGCCAACAAATCCCTCACGCCAGATACTATTACACGCCTCCGCCATCTCCTCAAGATTCTCCGTGACCTCAGCGAACCGGTTACCGGGGACGGGTCCCATCGTGGGTGAGAAGATGAGATTGTCCCGTCCATAGAAAATCGCAAGATCTACCATGCCGGTGCTATAGGCAACCTCGCGTACCGATGGACTGGTAATGGTGCCGGGCGGAAAGAAGAAGTAGAGCAGATCGCCGGGGATTGGCATAATCGTTGGATTTTCGAGACCTATCTCGCTCGGTGCAAAGGGCGGAACAAGCGTGTAAACTTCGTTACTCGCGTATTTGGCATGAAAGGCATCGCTCTCCTGTGGCAGTGCATTCCACACCGCCTCGCACGTCTTCGGCGCAAGGTCGTCAAGCATCCGCGCAATACAACTCACACCGCGCTTCCGGAGGGTCACTTCAATATATCGATCCATGCTAATCTCCTTACCCGACGAGTCGGGCGACTACAGGAGTAGGTACGCTCCGCCGCGCTGTAGTTGGTACAACGGTTACGGCATACGGCGTATGCCTACTACCTTGCTAGTTTGTGTTAAAGGACAACTGTCATTAAGCGTCCTAAATTGGACTGCGGCGTTAAGCGGTTGGCAAGGCGTAGGGCTTCCCACATCGTCACCTGATTCGCCGTCAACACCGTTTTGCCGACCGCCGCTTCAAGTTCGGGCAGAAAATCGACGGTGTGCAATGCGGTGTCGGGGATCAGGACCGCTTCGGCATCGGGATGGTCGTTGGCACGCGCAAAGCGCAAGACCTCATCGCGTTCAATAAGAGCGACCTCGTCCCCCGTCCAGACACCGAGACAGCCCATGTGAACCACTTCAACACCACCCGTCTCCAGAAAAGCGCGAAAAGCGTTTGACAGTTCTTCGGGGTAGGTTGCAGCAACGGCAACGCGCTTTAGTCCGAGCGCTTTGCTGGCACTGAGGAACGCCAGCGATGTGCTTGATGCTGGTACGCCGAGGGCATCGACCAAGTCGCGTGCTTGACGCTTCGCTCCCTCCACACCAAATGCAAAACTGGCACTTGTGCAAGCCCATAAACAGGCAGCAACGTTGTGAGGGCGCAGTTCCTCCGCACCCGCTAACAGGTATTCCCGACTACCGGTGATAAGGCTCTCGTCGATCCGATGCAGGTTTGGGCTATCGGTATGAACTACCTGAACCTCGACCGCAGGCTCCAACGCAGCGGCAAGGCGTGGGTAGTCGTCCTCCGCGGAGTAGAGAGGATAAAGGATACCAATTTTTAGCTTGTTTCCATCTGTTTGCCTCAGTCTATTCCTTCCAACCGACCGCTGTAACGGTAGCACTTGCCATAAACGCTCCGGGATGCTCGCTCCATTTCCGCCAAGCGGCGATTATCCGATCCAATTCAGAGCGATCTGTCCAACCCAAATCGATCATCTGCTGCGCGATAGCCGATCCGCCAAATAAGCGTCCTCCGCGTTCAGCGCGCATTCGTACCCCATCTTGCGTGCCAACGGTTGAATACTTTGCGACCGCTTCAACGCGAACAAATCCGGCTTCGTGCAGCAAGCACGTTGGTGCTTTACCGATGGCGGGGTTTCCACCGTTATGTTCAACCAACCGCCAGTAAAGTTCGTGGTCTCGATCCAGCAGTGGATCCGAAGGGCTGATGAGTGATCCACTAAAGTCGGGATGGCTAATACCAATCACACCGCCCGGACTCAAAAGCCGGTATATCCCCTTGAGCACCTCAAGCGGCTGCCGGAGATGGCTCAACACATTGTGTAGAAACGCGGCATCGAATGCGTTCGCAGTAAAGGGGAGGCGATACACATCGGCATTTGCAAAGTGGAGGTTGCCCCCCGCGCGTTCAGCCGCCTGCAACCACGCGTGCTTATATTCGCTGGGTTCAATATCAACCCCTACGACCTGTCCGGGCGTGACCGCCTCTGCTAATCCAGCGGTAATGCTGCCGGGGCCACAACCGCAATCCAGCAGGCGCGTACCTGCACTCAGATGGGGAAGGAGGAAGCCCGCTTCCTTCGCTGCGGTGCGTTTCTGAAGCCGTTGGACAGTTTGGGATGAATATCCAAGTGTATATTGTTCTTTCGTCTCCGAATCGCTGACGGATGTTTGTGACTCGGTGTTTGCCATGTATGTGTCTTTCGGTTATTCGCCTTTCAAATAGTCATAGACAATCTGCGCGTATCCCTCGGAGTAGCTGCTCTCCATGTAGAAGGCATCACCATATTTCAGCGGTGATAGCGGAGTGAGATCGCACAGCGGGGAGGCACCGAGGGCAATCCTACCCTGTCCCTTTGCGGTGAAGTGCACTTCTAAATCTTGGGTTGTTTTGCTGCAATCAATCAGCTGTTTGAGGGCGGGACCCGGACCGTCCGCTCTGGGAATAACCTTCAATCGCCAAGCGGGGGTCAGGGAGGGCATCGCATCGTGGGAAGTAACGGTTTCCATGCTAGAACTGATATTCAGCACCGGCACACCACCGAGCGAGGTTTCCGTCACCATACACCGATCCGCTTGTGTCACCTTTAGCCCCGCGTATACCTTCGGCGTTCCGTAAATTTCCTGCCCGCAGCGATGCCAGCGGGACCGTTATGAAAAACGTGGGAGCAGTAAAATCCGGTCTGATTCCTGAAACGGCACTTCATCACAATAAAAGATTCTTGAAGGGGTCCATAGTTTGTGCAGAAACGGCACCTCTCAACCCTGAGCCACGCACAACCCGTCCTCTGCTGCTTCCAAAGGCTCCGGGAGAAAGCCCTGAACGGCGGTGGGTTCAGCGTGAAAGAAGACAAATTGAAACCTCACATTCCGATAGACCGCCGGCAGCGGCGGATAAAAGGGGTTGTCCGCCGGTATATTCCAGCCATCATCGTGTTTAAGTCCCATGCTCGGAATCCCCTCTCCAGCTGATGGTGTCATCGGAACGCAGCCTTCTCGGTCTCCGCCTCATCCACCGTCCACGACTGGGTATCACCGCGACTTTATAAACCTCCCTCGCCCGTTCGAGGCTCACCTGCCCTCACGTACGTCTCGGCACACCAAGTCGGATCGCGTTCTTCGGGAGGACCGTACCGCCGCCGCCGCAGGTGCGATAACTCATTATTTCTCCCGGCTTGAGTTCGACGGTTACTTTGGAACTGAGTTCGACGGGATCTGTGTCGGGATTCAGGATGTAACTCGCTTTGAGACCCGGCTGTCCACCAAATAGCCCCCACGGTCCCCACCGATCTCGATCTGCCAAGATAGTGAAAGAGGGTTCATGGTCGAGAAATTCGTAATCCCGGCGCAGACTAGCCGCCGCGATGTTTGCCCGCACCGTCCGAATCATCCACACAATTCGTAGCGCGTGATGCGTACCGGGTAGTTCGTTTCGGTCTCCTCAATGGGTGCATTCTCGGTGTTCTGTCCGTGTGTCTGCACGGCATCGGGACCATCGCTAGCGATTCGTCCCCAAATCCGCCCCCATCGTCTACAGAAACCAGTAATACTCCCTGTGCGGGGTCTGCCACCACCGAAACCGGCGGGACCGTGACACATCATGGGCTTCGTAACCGGCTGGCACCGGTCAGGCATACCGGCGACAGTGACTTGAAAACCATCACGTCGATCAACCGAGTCTGGTATCCCAGCCCCCTACACCGGGGCAGGGGTGTGCTATTGACCCACTGTCCCTTCGGAGCGAAGCATCGCACGAATCCGTAGATAGAAACCCGCATTTGTGGTCTGTCAGGGTCAAGTAAGACACTTGAGGAACGTAGGACAGCCGGATTGAGAAGGTTTGGGCATACGTGGAGTTCACCGGCGCTCGCCGTTGCGGGTCGCCAGCCGGTCAAATCGAAAGGAAAAACACCGTCGGGTCAACCACCCATCTCATTCCCACAAGGCTGTAATGTACCGGTTCACGGTAAAACCATCGTTGTAAACGTAGCCGTCGGCGTGAAAGACGCCTGGGGCAGCTTTGCAACCTCAGCCCGTTTGGCGTCCGCTCGGCATAAGCGCATCAGTTCATCAATGTAGAAAGTAAGGTCCTGCTCCCATCCGATCCATAATCGCGCTCAACCGGCGCATCCCGGTGGTGTTGGCTGCGACTGTGCCCGAAAGTCGCCACCGTTTCGCGCTTCGATC